GTGGGGCCTGTGGAAACTTCGATGGGGACCAGAATAATGATGCACGTGGGAAGACAGCGATGGAGAAGTGGAGAGCCCAGGACATCTCCCCATGGTGAGGACGGAGAACGGGAGCCAGACTTTTGGGAACTGGGGAAAGAGGTCGTGTGGGCGGGTGTTCAGTCTGCAGGTGGAGTGCTAAGCGTCTGTCTCTTGCAGCTCCGGCTGATGAGTCACCACTGGACACTTCAAGACCTGCCTCTCCCGGAAGTGACAGTGATTGAAGGATGCCCTGTGTGTCCCCGCCCCGCCCCGCCCCTTTGCTGAGCCACCGAGGCCAAATCTGAAAGCATCGAGTAAATAACTAGACCCAAGTTGTGTGTCTGCCTCCTGCTGTCTCCCCCAACTCCCTCCCCATGTGGGAGACGTGGGTGGTGGTGCGTCTCTGTTAGAGAGGACGGGCGGCCGCGCGTGCGGGTGCACGGGCAGGTGAAGATGGCCAGAGTGGGGGCGGACTGGGGAGACTGGGAGCCACAGAGAAAGGTGATTAGAGGTGTGGATGGGTGAGATGATGGTGAGCGGATGCGGAGAGACGTGGAAGGCAGAGAGACAGATTCTAGAGTCACCATTCACAAGTTACCTGGTTCCTCTCTGGCTTGTTTTCATAGGCTAGTATTTTCTCGTAGAGTTGGAGTGAGGCTTTAATTCCTGAGTCCAATCAACACGGCACTGAGGAGCAAGGGCTGGGACTCGTATCCTTCTACCTGGGCAGTGAGCGAGGAGTGAAGCAAATTGTTACTGTTTGGCAGGGCAGGATGGAAAGCCGTCCTCAAAGGAGAGCAAGGGCGGGTCAGGGAAGGAAGCTGAAAAGAGGCTCAGACGGCGCCATTGTTTGGATATGAAGTGTCCCTCCAGCCGGTGCACATGCAGTGTCCCTCCAGCTGGTGCACGTATGAAGTGTCCCTCCAACTGGTGCACGTTCATGGCTCAGCCTGGAACACCTGTTCAGAGACAGTCTTTGGGCAGGTGACTCTGTTACCAGGCAGTCTTTGGGCAGGAGACTCTGTTACCACATGAGAGTTCCCTGTTTCCTTTCCTCTCAAAGGAAAGGATTCAGCTGAGAAACTGTATCACTTTAAGCTGAAGTCGCACTAGAGAGTTCCCTGTTTCCTTTCCTCTCAAAGGAAAGGATTCAGCTGAGAAACTGTATCACTTTAAGCTGAAGTCGCACTAGAGAGTTCCCTGTTTCCTTTCCTCTCAAAGGAAAGGATTCAGCTGAGAAACTGTATCACTTTAAGCTGAAGTCGCACTAGAGAGTTCCCTGTTTCCTTTCCTCTCAAAGGAAAGGATTCAGCTGAGAAACTGTATCACTTTAAGCTGAAGTCCTCACCAGAGTGGTTAGCGTGAGCCACGATACTGGGACAGCAGCAAGAGATCCCAGATTTGCTATTTTTGTAAGAGGATTTTGTGAATGCATATGAGGTAAGCAATATGAGATATGAATGTATGTGAGGTATATCCATGAGAATAAGGTAACCTTTTTTTCATCTCACAAATCATGGTGCACCAGTTCATCCTTTGAAGGTCTTATTTCCCATGATTCTCTTTAAAAACTCTGGGGAGGCAGGAGGACAAAGTTGCAATGCAAATTGTAGCAAATTGTTTCATAATGAAGTCAGGGTCTTTTGACCATGCAAACCTGCATTAGTGTGCATATGTGGCAACTGGGAAACTCCTGGAAGTCTCTGTTCTTGATATAGCGGGAAGAACCTAACTGTAGCATCAAGGATGCTCAATCAGCAAGGGGCATTTTTGATGATCAAAAACCATAGCCTCCAAAATATGGTTTCTTCTACCATGTCTAAGCCCCCTGGTCTCATTCCCTCCCTCAATTTATATGGACCCATATATATATATATGCTTATATGTGTGTACATATATGCACGCGTGCACGCGCGCGTGCGTGCGTGCGTGTGTGTGTGTGTGTGTGTGTGTGTGTGTGTATTTGGTATTTTGAGACAGGGTTTCTCTGTGAAACAGCTCTGGCTGTCCTGGAACTCACTCTGTTGACCAGGCTGGCCTAGGACTCACAGAGATCCACTTGCCTCTGCCTCCCGAGTGCTGATGGGATTAAAGGTGTGCGCCATCACTGTCTGGCTAGCCCTTATATTTTTTATAAGAGGGCAAAGTAGAGGCCTCTTTATTTAGTAACTTAAGACACAGACCCTACCTATGGACCCAATGTCACTGCTGTCTGTGTTGGTAACCAAGGCAGTTGCATAAACTGTTGGTATAAACAGCTGCTTATTTTGTTGGTTGGGAAGTACCACAGAAATGTTGTCCCATTCGATCTAGTGTAGAGGATGATGCTTCGAGATCTGGATCTATGAATCCTGGAAGAACCAAACCAGGGTAGCCATTAAAGGAAGCAGGGACCAAAACTGCAGAGTGAAATACATCTTACTAGAGGAATAGCGATGCCAGCCATGGCCACATGGAATGATTGAGAAACTCTAACAGTGAGAAAGAGGGACCCAGGGACAGGAACACCCAGGAGGGGAGAGAACAGGGACCAAAAGCCTGTTGTGCCACAAGGAGGAGTCAGATGTTTAGTTTTTTTGTTTTGTTTTGTTTTACTGGAGGCCCCCATAAGACAAAAGGAACCAGGATGGGAGATGGATTGAGCTATGACCATTGAATATGTGCAAACTACTCAGTTACATCCTGGGGGTCCCTGGGCTGAAAGTTAGTGGATATATTTTGCAGATTGGAATAAAGTAGAGACTGTAGATTGAGCCTGAGGATGAGGATGACTAGCTGTGGTGACAGTCCCCCAAGTGAATATCCCCCACGGCAGGAGGTCCTAAACAGAGAGTGGGTTTCCATTCACTCGGAGCCAGATAAATTCGTTTTTAACAGAAAACAATACAGTATCCTAAAGTTCGAAGCAGTCAAGAAAGCGTTTGTTTAGTGAGGAGCAGGTACGAGTGGGCATAAATGTTATCCAGACGCATCGCTTGAGGAAAGCTCCTAGCTCAGGAGTGAGGGTCATGAGTCATAGGTTGTCCATTTGACAGTGCCCTTGGAGTCCCCTTTAAAGAAGATAGGAAGGTTCTCAGTTGGTTGTCTAGTCTGAATAGGAGTCTCCATGAGCAGCTGTGAAAACTAGGCTCTTCTGAAGGACAGAAGAACCAAATTGGTAATGCTTGACCGCCGTTGGAGGATTTAGGTGGGCTGGAACTGATCAGCAGGGGTTGTGGTTCTCAGAGGGCCTGGGGGGCACTCGGCTCAACCAGGCCAAGCACTTGTAGAACCTTTACTATCATCAATTAACTTTGCTTTCTATTTCATATGAGGGAGGAGGGAGGGGGGGAGAAGGAGGGAGAGAGAGAGAGAGAGAGAGAGAGAGAGAGAGAGAGAGAGAGAGAGAGAGAGAGAGAGACAGATTAGAGAGCACACATCTGTGGAGGTCTGAAGACAACTCCTGGGAGTTGAGTCTCTCCTTTCACCCTGAGGGTCCCATGGATCACACTCAGGGAGTCGGGGTTGGTGGGAATTGCTACCCCGCTAAACTGTCTCACTGGCCCTAACTTCACTTTTGAGTTGTACTTTCCTGATGGGCGTTGGAGACCATGCAGGTGGTCGACAGCTGATCTTTTCTTCTTTTACTGGTAAGATACTGAAGACTCAGTAGTGTACTCTCGGGAGCTTACGGGGTGACCCTTAGATCCATTAGCTTCCCCTCCCTCAGTCGTACTGACGTATCAGGTCTTGCTGACCACGAGGTTTCCCTTGGACACATAGGGGACATGTCTACCCTCGGTGTCTCTCCTCTTTACGGGATGGGCACTGTTGACATCTAAACTCTGGTGACTCCACGGCCTCTCTGATCAAGAGGACAGGTGACATATCAGAGTTCTATGGCTATTTTAGAGGTGTCATGTCATCTCCTAGGTCCTTGGTGACCTTGCAGGGCAAGAATTGAAATACTGATTCCTTACCCTCTTCAGCTTTGACTGCCAAGCTTTGGTTGACCCCCGCTCCGCTCTGAGGAAATCTGCATCCATCCAGAAGAGGAAGTGGGAGCCTTCGTTCCAACTTTTCTGTAACATTCAAAATGACATGTTTTTAAATAAGCCCTGAGTTTATTAAAGACCTGGGTTCCTACACAGTTAAAAAGCCTGACAAACAGAAACACAAATAATTATCTTGATAAGCATGAAATATCTGTTCTTTAAGCCAGTTCTTATAAACATTACCAAGAACAGATCAATATCTTAAGAAAACCTCCTTGTACTAAATAAAGAGCCAGGTTTCTGTTTTATATTAGTATGCTGAGTTTTGACCTTATGAATTTTAAATTTAAATTTTTGTTTTCTGTTTTGTTTTGTTTTGAGACAGGATTTCTCTGTGTAACACTGGCTGTCCTGGAACTCACTCTGTAGACCAGGCTGCCTCTGCCTATCCAGTGCCAGCATTAAAAACATGCACCACCACTGCCTGTAAAGAAATTTGAATGTGTGTGTGTGTGTGCGTGTGTGTTATAATCTTGACGTTTCATTGTCTACTTACCTAGACCTTCTGCAACACACTTAAGGTTTCCAGTTAGCCTTCATCTTTCCTTTCCCATTTTGGAAGGAACCCAGTCATTTCACTTTAAAACAGAGATATTACTTTACTGTACAAAATCCTTGCCTGTTCAAAATATTGTCTTTTCTTTTTACTCTCACCCCCTTTTTTGGGGGTTCAGTTTTTCGAGACAGGGTTTCTCTGTGTAACCCTGGCTGTCCTGGAACTCACTCTATAGACCAGGCTGACCTCGAACTCACAGAGATCCGCCTGCCTCTGCCTCCCGAGAGCTGGGATTAAAGGCGTGGCCACCACGCCCAGGTCCTTTTGCCCTTTCTGTCATCCTACATCCTTCTCTACATCTACCCTGGTTTCTCTCCTTCCTACCTTGCTTCCTTCCTTAATGAGACTGAGCAACACAACACAGTTTACGCTTTTTCAACGGGAGCCGAGTGCTCGTTTCAGCGGAGCGCACACACTGAGACTGGAACAATACAGAGAAGATTAGCAGGGCCCCGCATAAGGATGACACACACACATTTGTGAAAAAATCCATATTTTTATGAACTTTAATATGAAAAAGGGAAGCTGAACTCAAATCACATTTACAGCAGAATAAAACAAATGAAAGTTAGCTGTCCACATAACGTTAGAGTATATATTCTTGTCTACTGCGAGCCTTGGGCAGAATCTTCCTCTTCAGAGTCTGTCCTATGGGCTAACATATCCAGAACGTTAAAACCAGCAAGAGCCTCCCACGGCAAGAAAGCTTTCCAAGGACAAAGGACACTGAGCTACAAAAGTCACTTACTACCAACTACTAGCAAGACAAAGCAGATGAAAGAGAAAAAACCCGGAGGGGGGAGAAGGGGGAGTTGTGTGTTACCCCTGTAACTTCAGCTTAGGATACAGCGTGTCCTCTGTGAACATGGGGGACATAACAAATGGCTATTTTTTTCATAAAGGCCCAGGGGAGAGGGAATACAGCAGGAGTCACACTGTTGAGGCCGTGATGGAAAGATAAGCCCGGAGCGTTTGTTCTTTTTACAGTATTTCCCACTTAACAGAGAACTAGCCAATGATAGCCCATGACCTCGTGGATCCCAGTGTCTTGGAATTGGCCCCTTGGTCCCAGCATCCACAGTCTCCAGAACCAGTCCTTTGTGGTTCTCAGGACTTAGCGTCTGTCTAGTTGCTCACCCTTTCATTTTCCCACTTGGATGATCATCCTTTGATCTGGGATGCCCTTCTGTATATAGGTTTCTCTTGTTGGTCGATGAATAAAACACTGATTGGCCAGTAGCCAGGCAGGAAGCATAGGCGGGGCTACCAGACCAGGAGGAGCCTGGGGAGAGGGAGGCAGAGAGGAGCCACCAGAGAGACGCCATGTAGAGGCAGAAGGAGTAACATGCCAGGGCGTTACCGGATAAGCCGAGAGCACGTGGAAATACTTAGATTAATAGAAATGGGTTAATAACTAAGAGAGAGCTAGCCAAAAAGAAGCCTGAGCCATAAGCCAAACAGTTTATGAATTATTGTAAGTCTCTGTGTGTGTGTTTATTTGGGGGTTAAAGGGTGGAGGGGCCAGGTGGAACAGAAACTTTTCCTTTCCTACTGGCAGCAGTGGAACGCTATCAGGACATGCGGGGGTTGTCTTAGAGGAACCTTGTAATCCTTTTCAATCGTACCTCTAGTAAATGAGATTGTACGTAAGGTCATCCCCACCAAGCTTTTGTCCATTGATACATGGTGAGTGATGGAGCTGACCCACTAACAGAAAAAAGGTGTTTGAGTCAGGACCACTTACAGTGCTCACAGAGGTCAGGGTTGTCCTGAAGGCCACAGAGATCTGAGCATGAGGAACTTTCATACACGGGCCCAAGTTCTGGGAAGGGAGATACAGTTAGAAGACACTGCTAAAACCTAGAGTCCCGTTCTTAGGCCAGACCTCCACAGCATCCAGACTGTGACATCCAAGCTGTTTTACAGAGAAAGTGCAAGTTGTTTTTTTTTTCCCTTAAGCAACTGGGGCTCACATTCTATTCCATTTTGTTGTTGTTGTTGTTGTTGTTGTTGTTTGAGACAGGGTTTCTCTGTATTGCTTTGGAGGTTGTCCTGGAACTTGCTCTGTAGACCAGGCTGGCCTGGAACTCACAGAGATCCTCCTGCCTCTGCCTCCCGAGTGCTGGGATTAAAGGTGTGCCTTGCTCGATTCCATTTTTAAAAGATGTAGCCAAAGCGCAAGGTCTGGGGATGGATGGATGGTCCCACATCCAGAAGAGAAAGACAGGACGCTGTGAGGAGAAAGGTGTCCCGTATTCACGCCTTCCGCCAGGGGAGGAGGTGAGATCAGCCTCTTCACCCAGGGACCCTCAGACTTAGTCACCTCCCTGTCTTCCACTATGCCTGCTGTAACTAAGGGACCAGGGCTGGAGACCATCCCTGGGATTGGGCCTCCTACCAGGCCTGTCCCCTTTTGCATCCCGATGCCCCTTAACATGGTAAGGCTTGAGAGTGCTCACCTGGGGCCAGAGGCCAAAAGACCTAGAGAAAGCAAAGTCGGAGCCTGCCCAGGCTGAACAGAGCCACACCCTCCCCGCCTTGGCACAGATGACATCAGGGCACCGGGCATCCAACTCAGCATGTGACCAAGGGATGAGTTTGAGGTCCTGACACTGCTTTAAGTAGGGCTTATAGCCAAACTTCTCACACCCTGTACACACACACACACACACACACACACACACACACACACACACGTGAGCATTCTACACGAGGCTTTAGTAAAGCGCCTAGCATCCGCCATTCTGGTGTTTTTATGCCTGTGGCTGGCTAGCTTTTATCAGACACAAGATAGTAACTCAGGACATGGCAAGAAAGACGAGCCCCCGATGGCCATGTCCTCTTGAGCAAGACCCTATTATTCCAGCTAACTCAGGAGTGGGGAAAGGAAATCTCCCCAGAGTTCCCTATGCTCAGCACGGAGGCATGCATTAAATACCAGGTGGTTCTCCGTAGCAACGGGGCTGGAGCTCAGCACTGCTGCTGCTCGTGCCCAAGAAGATCCTCTGCAAGGACTGCAACTCACACGAAGCAAGGTTCCTGAAAACCCCACAGAAAAGAGAATCGCAGGGCCAGCCAGGATAGAGCATGCACACAGAGCCTGAGACTCACCCCGAAAGCATGGTGCTATCCCAGGGAAGGAGTTTTTCTCAGTTCTTTGTTCTTGAAGGAAGTCTTTCCTCTCAGAAACACAGACAGATTGAGCAGTTTGTCGAAAGCAAAGCCAGGCAAAAGGATGGCATTCTCCTGAGATCCTGGGACAGGCCAACCCAAGTGAGAAGGCAGCAGCGTGACATCTTGGGTTTGATATCTGTAGAAGAGGTTTTTATGCATGTTTATGAGGCAGACAGAATAGCCGTGGGAGTAAGGGGGCCTTTTCCCCTCTCAAGTCTTAGCAGATTGGATGTCCCTTTTAGGGCTTTTCTTCCCATGATCCTCTTGAAAGCCCACAAGAGAGAGTCAAAACCACAATGCAGGAGGTGTCGTAAGAAAGCCAGGCTCTTCAGAGGCTGCAGATCCCTCACTGGTGTGCTCGGGCAGCAACGAAAATGGTCCTTGTCACCTTAGCTTCTGATACAACAGAAAGAGCTCATCCGTGGTTCCTCGTAACTCAAGGAGTGCTTTCAGCGGCCAGAGACAAAGCTACAAGATACCGCTACGGTTTCCTTCAGTTCACTCCTGTCTTTCTGGTCCTAGTTCCCCCAAGTGAGTAGTGGGGGTTTTGACATGATCTGTGGGTTAATTCACTAGTGCATTTGCAGTTTTATGGAATCATTGGCAGGTGGCTGCGACTAAGGCAGGTTGAGAAATGTAAGTCACTGAGGGAATGTCTTTGAAAGTCCCGTTCTCTGCTTTTGTCTGCCGTGTCTTACTGCCACGACGTTAGTTACTTGCCGCTAGCTAAAAAACAATGGACCCAGGTGTCCACGGATTCAATCAGCGCTCGTGTGAGCTCAAATAAACCTTCAGCTCCCCTCCTTTAATCGTCACAGCAGTGTTCCTACACAGAGGTGTTTGAGCACGTCAGTTGGGAGCTTTCCAGATTGATACTATGACAGTCCACCTCTGGTCCCAGTAGACACACGGCCATCCGGTCCTGCAAACTGTCTAGTCCAACTTCGAGGGTCCCCTGACTTCGACAGTTTCAGTATTAGTCACAAGTCCAACAATCTCTTCTGAGACTCGCGGCACCGTTAGCTATGAGCCCGTAATAACAAAACATTTACATTCTTCCAACACCCAATGGCACAGAGTAAATAGTCCCATTCTACAAGAGAGGAATGTGGTGGGGGGAGGGGAATAAGGAAGGACTGGAGCAAAGCCATACCCCAAACCAGAAGGGCAAATATTAAACACTGTAGCTACCGCCCAGAATTTCCAGTGCATGGTTGCATCATTGGACCATTGGGTTCTTGTGGGCTTGGTCATACTTACTCCTGTGGCCCTGTCATTTGCAGCACGCACGACCTTTCACTCTGACTCCATCAGTGTCTGTAGCTTCCCTTGACATAGCTGCAGTGCTCCTGGCACTGCAACCATCCTAGGGTATCCATGGCAACTTGGACCTCACCTCCGCTACCTCAGGCATGGGCTATGAGAACTGCCCTTGCATGGAATCGGTTTATGTGACACAGAACCAGATAGAAGCTTTTCTCTGGAACCCTGTGCAAGCTTCTGCAAGCACATCAATCCTGCAGTCTTCATGCATGCTTGCAAAACCTTCACGACTTGCGTAACGCCAGATTCTACTGCCAACTCAAGATGTAGCCCAGTCCACCAGGACCATGGCTACAGTGGCCTCTTAGTCCCTGAGCCTCGGAGTCAGGGAAGCATTTCCTACATGGACATTTCAATCAAGGTACCCTTTGAGGGCACTTTTCTCTCTTTAAAGGCGTTCCTTCCACACATATCATGCCCTGGAAACCAGCCGCGGTGGGAGGAGTGTCGTCCTTGAGGTGCCTTTCCCACCGTGTGAAGCTTCTCGATAATTGTACTGGCATTTTAAACAATTACGTCTGCTTTTTTCACACTCACCTTGTGTGTGGCTTCAAATGCTCTCAAGCTCCACGCTGCCCCTGTTCCCACGTCCCCTCTCCAATCCCTCCCTCCATTCCCACCACACCCCTGGCTAGAAGCAGCCAGTGATAATTGCTCTGCCAAACAAATCATTCCACGGCTCTTAGATTCTGCCCCACCCCACTGTTCCTGGGGAGCAATGGAGCAAGGGTCTTTACCAGAGTGTAGTATAAACGGCCCTTACGCTGGTTCCCAAGTCATTGTTCCTGCCTGACACCTCGTGAGTACAGTCTCTATTGCCCATACTTCTGTTGGCATTTGGACCTTCAAATTTTCCGCCACATTAGTCCTTGTGCCCTGCTCCCGCCTTCCGGGGCTCCTCCAGCCTCTGCCTCCAAATCCTTCCATGGCTACCTCAGTAACAAACCAGTTCCAAAGGCGCAAGGACCACACGGTTGGATTTAGTCATATTAATGACCCCCCTATCTGGACCAATTCACTCTGTTACTTTTGTCATTGTTGTAACTAAAAAAAAAAAAAGCCTGCCCAAGAGAAATAATGAGAGAGGAAGACATTATTTTGGCTCGTGGTTTGCGAGGGCACTGTCTATCTTGGTACACAGGACGTCCTGCCTGGAGTGACTCCGTCCAAAGTGGGAGCCTGGGTGGCTGTCTGCACCAAGCCTCAGAGCAGGACAGAAACAGAGGCGTGTTTAACCTTCAAGGCCTGTCACTCGCAGCCTGTTTCATGCCCCAACCCTCACCAAACCTCATGTTCCACAGCCTCACCAAACAGTGCTAGTTGCTGGCAACCATGTGTTAAAATATGATAGCCTGGCCCACAATCCCTCGCGCCCTTCCTTTCCAACTTGGGCCCGGCAGAATGGCTCCCGCAAAGAAGGGTGGCGAGAAGAAGAAGGGCCGTTCTGCCATCAATGAGGTGGTGACCCGGGAGTACACCATCAACATCCACAAGCGCATCCATGGCGTGGGCTTCAAGAAGCGTGCTCCTCGGGCACTCAAAGAAATCCGGAAATTTGCCATGAAAGAGATGGGAACTCCAGATGTGCGCATTGATACCAGGCTCAATAAAGCAGTCTGGGCCAAAGGAATAAGGAATGTTCCATACCGTATCCGTGTACGATTGTCCAGAAAACGTAACGAGGATGAGGACTCACCAAACAAGTTGTACACATTGGTAACCTACGTGCCTGTTACCACATTCAAAAATCTACAGACAGTCAATGTGGATGAGAACTAACCTGCTGAATGTCAAATAAAGTTGGAGAACTGCCAAAAAAAAAAATATGATAGCCTGTGGCAGACAGTTCAGATTCACCCAATAATCTCAGGGTCGTACCAGCCTTTTGGGAGACACAGATTACATCCCAGAAATCCTATACATCCTCGGCTACTTCTTCTGCATCCTGAAAGCCCCATGTCACATCTCAGGAAAAGTCTAAGGTAGGTGATGAGACTCATCCCCAAATTAGCCAGTCCCTTCTTCCTGGAGGGAGATGGAACAGGGAACTATCTTAAATACCAAACCAAATAATCTCTGGGGTGGAAACATCATGTCCTACACTAGAACCCAAGTCTAAACATTCCTAGAAAACTACCCTCACAGGGATTTAGAAACAAGATGTCGGTGGCTTTGGACCAGGGATCGGCCCATGGGGACAGCAAGGAGCCAGAACCCGGATACGGACCTTTAGATAGTGTTACAGGTAAAGACCAAAGATAGGACCCTGGCCAGCAAGCCAACAAACATAGTCAATGCTACCTCACCCTTCAATGCCCACTGCCTTGCTCAACGAACCCAGGCCAATGGCACACGACTCCCCAGCTGTCCTCCTAAGACACCACTCTGTCCTGGGGAAACGTTCCCACGCCCCCTGGGGTGCAGCCTCTAGCTGGTCTCACTCATCTCAGAGCACGGGCTACAGATTTCTCCTCCACGCACCACAAAACCTCAGGACTCACTATCAGCAGCCTCCTCCAGGAAGCTGGCATCCTCTGCCTGGCTTGTGGCCAGTGGTATAGCCGGAGGGAATGGAGGGAACTATATAGCTCAGTCCACAGGGTGAGCCTGCAGCTCCAGGGACCGGCAGGTGGGAAGGGATGGGTTTCTTCCTCTTGTCCTTCTTTCTACACCTCTTATCTCTTCCCTCGGGGCATCTGAATATCCAGTTCCCCTACCTATTTCCCTGGATTCTGAAGTTCCTAGCTCGTTCCTCAACATACAGGCTAGAAACTGCCCAGACCTAGTCCTACCTACCTAACTTTATTCCCTTCCTCAGCCTTCCTTGTATTCAGGGTAGCCAGCCCCAGTCCCAGGACTGTCCCATTGTGCCATCTCCATGACAGTCTCCAACAGGACCACAGGGCAGACTTACATGAGCCTCCGTCTCTCTCTGTTGCAGGCATGGGATCTCTATGGAGCTGGTGGGTACTCTGGGCCAGAGCAGCCCTCCTGTGCGGTAAGTCAGATTGAACCTGGTGCATGTCCTTGTTCGTATCTGGGAAGCTCACCGCCTGGGTCAGCATCTTTCTTTTAGTGCCCTTCCGTAATCCATTCTCAGGAACTCCCAGGCTAGCTGACGTGGAAGAGAGAGCGTGTGAAAAAATAAGTTGGGATTTCCCTCTCCCGAGTTAGGAGTGTTGAAAAATCTAGCCGCTTCTGTCTATGCCTCCACAACCCTCATCTTCCCTTCCCCATCTTGAACACCACAGAAATCACTCCGGCAACTGGAGCTGGTCAGACTGTAAAGCTCCCACAGCACTTAGAAGCACGGGTCGGGATTTCACATAAAGCTTCAACTAGCTTCATGTGAGAGGCAGAAGATGCAGCCTGAAAACTGAGACACCCGACCATAATCCCAGTCAGCAAAAGAGAACGGCGGTGGCTTATGCCCGGGGGAGCACGAGCTCCAGGTCCGCAGTCGCCACCTGGACTGCCTCACACACGTCTAGTCCTCGTCTGCTGCTTTTGAGCTCAAGAGCCCTGTGCAAGGTGCCCAGGCGCTGGGCAGCAAAGCCGGGAGGGTTACAGATGACCGGGCGCGGCAGGAGTAGGGAAGGGACCAGGAGCAAGGGGAGCATTGTCTCAAGAGGGTCTCAGGCCCAGGCCAGAGGATTGGGTTTGTAATGGAAGGAACAGGTAAGGGACCCACGACTGCATTTTCTCAAGGGTTGACCCAGGAGGCCACAGTGGACCCTGGGAACACTGGTGGGGAAGAGTTCCTCACGGCCTTCCTGCAGAACTCCCGGCCTGGGTACAGCACCGCCTCTCCCCACCTCTTCATCTCCAGTCTGTCAGAGAGCACCGCCTCTGTCACCATCCTCAGCCAGGCCGATGCCAGCTCACAGAAGGTCGCAGTGAAGCCCAGGGTCAGTCGCGGCCAGCATGAGTGTCAAGGTTAAGATAGCCAGCTGCAATAGCTTCCAGCATCCCATGGGGGCGCCCTTTGACCACGCGGTTGCAGAGTGAGCGTTAAGCCGGGAGAACTGGCACTGCTGTGCCCTCTTGGAGCCCTGGACGCCGAGGGCTTCGTGCTCACCTCCATTCCTCCCGTGGCAGCCTTTTCCCTGCCTTCCCTGCTCATTCTTCCCTGGCGCCCAAGCCAGCTGGACTGTTCACCACCCACCTTTAGCGTCCCTGGCGACCTTCGTTAATGCTCCCCTTTTTACCAGGAACAAGATCCAAAACAGCTACCAACCAGAGTACCCCAGAGATACAAAGCAGAGCACGGTAGCGAGAATTCCCCCACTGCTCCAGCATCAGTCTTTGTATGTTGGTTTGTGGGGAGGCTGTGGTCCCCTGGGGAGACCCAAGGAGCTGAAATACAAGGACCTTTGGGAAGGCGCTGGTCGGTATTTTGATACCTTAGAAACTACTAGAGCTACACCAGTTGCTAACCGCAATGCTCATGAGATCCTCAATAGTAACCATGACGACCCGGGATGCCGCCCTGGGTGCTTCATGTGCTTGGCATAGTTAAGGGACAGGATCTGGCCCTGTGTGTGACCTCGGGCTCAGCCCATTCAGAAGATGCCACCGGGCAGTTCTGGTGTTGTGAGGACACAGGGCCAGAGCCAGAGGGCCTGGGTTAACCCAGCTGTGCCTGTGTGACCTCCAGCCTGTCACTGCACCTCTCCAGGCCTCAGAGTCTGTGGCTGTGACAGGGACAATGCCTGACGTTCCCACCCCCCACAACAGGACTGTGCTGAGAGTGGAGCAAATGGGTGAATGGGATGTCCTTAGATCACCTTGTGGGGAAAGGTCAGGGTGGGGCAGGGTGAGCTGATGCTGGGGCATGGGGGGGGCAGAAGGAGAGAGTCCTTGCGGGCTGGGGGCTGACCAGGAAGGGCTGTTTCTTCCCAGATCGTCTTCAGACTGGGAACCTAGACCCAAGGCTTTCTCATCCTGACAAAAATGCCACCCCACTTCAAGGGGGCACTCACAGCATGTGTGTATCTGTATGTATACACACCCAGGCATACATGTGTGTTTCTGTGTGTGAGCTGGCATGTACACTTCAGGCATGTATGGGTGTATTTGTGTGTAAGTAGGTATGATACCCAGGCATACATGTGGGTATGCAGGTTTGCACAACCAGGCATGCATGTGTGTATGCAAGCATTTGCACACAGACATGCATGTGTATATCTGTGTGTAAGCAGGTTTGCACACCCAGGCATATATGTGTGTATCTGTGTGTAAGCAGGTATGACACCTAGACATGTGTGTGTATGCAGGTTTACACACCCAGGCATACATGTGTGTTTCTGTGTGTGAGCTGGCATGTACACTTCAGGCATGTATGGGTGTATTTGTGTGTAAGTAGGTATGATACCCAGGCATACATGTGGGTATGCAGGTTTGCACAACCAGGCATGCATGTGTGTATGCAAGCATTTGCACACAGACATGCATGTGTATATCTGTGTGTAAGCAGGTTTGCACACCCAGGCATATATGTGTGTATCTGTGTGTAAGCAGGTATGACACCTAGACATGTGTGTGTATGCAGGTTTACACACCCAGGCATACATGTGTGTTTCTGTGTGTGAGCTGGTATTTACACTCAGGCATGCATGTGTGTATCTGTGTGTAAGCAGGTTTGCATACCCAGGCATGCATGTGTGTAAGCAGGTATGACACCCAGGCATACATGTGTGTATGCAACTACGCACACCCCAGAAAACATGTGTAGCGGCCAAAGCTCAAAGTCAGTCATCTTCTTCTGATCCCTCCCATCCTGTCTGTTTGTTTTTGAGATTCTGAACCTGGGGCTCTCAATCAGCTAAACTGGCTGAGCAGCTGCCCCTGGGATCTGCCTGTCACTGCCGGCCAGTCTCACTGAGCTAACACACTTGCCACCGAGCCTAGCTTTCACCTGGGGCTGGAATCTGGACTCATGTCCTCCTGCTCACACGGCAAGCTCCTCCCACATCCCACTGACCCATCTCCCGCTTCCTATCCTCTGGCCACTCCAGCCACATGGGAAGACGGGGAAGAGGGAAATGGAATATGATTGTGCCAGTGGTCGCTCCTGGTCCCTCTTCACGACCTGCCGTGCCTCTGGGCCAAGCCGTGCTAAACAGTGAGATCAGAAACCCTGGGGTGTGAGGAAACCCAGAGAATCCCTCTCCATGAGGCTGCAAACCTCAGTTTCCATGCCTGTAGAATGGGTGGCCGTGAGCCCACTGCTCACAGTCCACACTGAAGGAGGCCCCAGGTTTCTGTCCTCGTGAGCATTTCTAACTCTATCTCTCTTCCTCCGCAGCTCGGCTCTCCCCAGCAGAGGCTTCCTGCCAAGGCGTTCAGTGCGCATCTGGACAGCGCTGCCAGATGGTGAGCGGGAAGGCCATGTGTGTGGCAGAGTCCACAGCTGTGTGCCGCGCCCAGGGTGATCCCCATTACACAACCTTCGATGGCCGTCACTATGACATGATGGGCACCTGCTCCTATACCATGGCTGAGCTGCATAGCACCAAGAAATCCCTGCTGGCCTTTAAAGTAGAAGCCAAAAATGAGCACCGGGGCACCGACAAAGTCTCCTACGTGCGCTTGGTCACCGTCCACGCCTACAACCACACTGTGTCCCTGGCCTATGGAGAAACAGGCATTGCCCGGGTGAGTTCCCCCAGGCTTTGAGTTTAAGGCCGTAAACTACCAGGCCAAGAAAAGGAGTCAAACCCTTGTCTCTCCCACCATCCAATATGCCAACCAAAGAGATGGCTGCTTGGGTTGAACAATTAACCTTGAAGTCTCTCTTCAAGGAACGACAAGAACTTTGCAGGCTTACAGGGGCAGGAATCAGGAGTCCGCAGCAGAGAGAGCAGGCACTGGTGCTTAGGGTGTGGCTTGATGCTCATCATCTCAGTTCTAGATGGTTCTAGAGAAGCTGGGATTGCCGTGAGCTCTCGAGGGACACAATCTGATCCCCATGCAGTGACTTCTTCCACCCAAAGCTGTGGTCTGGCCACCGCAGATGGAAGTTCTCATCTGGGGGTGATCACAACGTGGTGACCTGTCTTGTGAGGTGACCTGCTGTTGGTCTGAGTAGTTTTGGTCCCCTGTCATATATAGATGTGTGTTGATCTGTAGAGGCAGAGCGTGTCTGAGGAGGGGATTGTTAAATTAGAGGTGAAGCAGGCCCAGGGAAGACGGCTGGAGAGATGGCTCAGCGCGTAAGAGCACTTGCTAAGCTTGAAAATCACTGGTGTTCGGTGTCTAGCACCCATGCCTATAGCTCCATTTTCGGGGGATCTGATGCCCTCTTCTGATCTCTGTGACCACTGTACATATGTGGCTCACAACTGTCCAGAAAACACTCATATACATAAAAATCAATAAATCAGTCTTTTTAGACCCAGCCCAGGGCCGCATTTGCACTGAGAAGACACTTGGAGGGCTGTAAGAACCCGTTGTGGGGTGGATGTCTTAGACAATTTCGTTAGCAGCTTACATTCTGAACAAAGTGACACCCCATTGTCACAATGGGAGTATTATAAGGTGGCCAGTTAGGTGATCCAATCACACTTAAAAACTGTGGAAGTGTGGTTCAGAGTTCCTCAAGCGCCCCCTGTCACACAAAATGGTGCTTTAAGTGGGGAAGGCTCCATGATATCTTCTTTAGACGAACCCCCAGGGCTCCATCTGGGGTCCCATCATCCCCTTCTGGTCAGCAATATGGTGGCCTTCGGGGTTAATTCTCCTTTTATGTCACTTTTACCTGCATTTTCTGCCTCTCTGAGAAAAGGGTGACTTGGGCATTGATTTACAGAGTAAGTCACTGTCTAGACTGTGAAACTGGCCATTCCAGTACGTACAGGGTACAGGAAACTGTGGTGGGTGCCATCAGCCAGGCTACACTGTCACGGCTGTGGGAACGCCGGCCTCGAGGGCTCAGTAGGATAGGGTGTTAGTCAGAGGCTTATCTGTGAGTGCGTACCTCATGCTCAGCTGTCCCCTGGTTACAGGGAAGTAACGATTGTAGCTGAATGGTCGTGGGAACCCCCAAGCGGCCTCAGTCCTTACGAGGCCATTATGGACTCCGGTTAGCTGAGGCTGTCTAATGCGATAGTTCTTTATGGACTCCGGTTAGCTGAGGCTGTCTTATGTGATAGTTCTTTATGGATCCCGGTTAGCTGAGGCTGTCTAATGCGATAGTTCTTTATGGACTCCGGTTAGCTGAGGCTGTCTAATGTGGTTCTTTATGGACTCCGGTTAGCTGAGGCTGTCTTATGTGATAGTTCTTTATGGACTCCGGTTAGCTGAGGCTGTCTAATGTGGTTCTTTATGGATCCCGGTTAGCTGAGGCTGTCTAATGTGATAGTTCTTTATGGACTCCGGTTAGCTGAGGCTGCCTAATGCGATAGTTCTTTATGGACTCCGGTTAGCTGAGGCTGTCTAATGCGATAGTTCTTTATGGATCCCGGTTAGCTGAGGCTGTCTAATGTGGTTCTTTATGGATCCCGGTTAGCTGAGGCTGTCTAATGCGATAGTTCTTTATGGACTCCGGTTAGCTGAGGCTGTCTAATGCGATAGTTCTTTATGGACTCCGGTTAGCTGAGGCTGTCTAATGCGATAGTTCTTTATGGACTCCGGTTAGCTGAGGCTGTCTAATGTGATAGTTCTTTATGGATCCCGGTTAGCTGAGGCTGTCTAATGCGATAGTTCTTTATGGACTCCGGTTAGCTGAGGCTGTGTAATGCGATAGTTCTTTATGGACTCCGGTTAGCTGAGGCTGTGTAATGTGGTTCTTTATGGATCCCGGTTAGCTGAGGCTGTCTAATGCGATAGTTCTTTATGGACTCCGGTTAGCTGAGGCTGTCTAATGTGGTTCTTTATGGACTCCGGTTAGCTGAGGCTGTCTTATGCGATAGTTCTTTATGGACTCCGGTTAGCTGAGGCTGTCTAATGCGATAGTTCTTTATGGACTCCAGTTAGCTGAGGCTGTCTTATGTGATAGTTCTTTATGGACTCCGGTTAGCTGAGGCTGTCTAATGTGGTTCTTTATGGATCCCGGTTAGCTGAGGCTGTCTAATGTGATAGTTCTTTATGGACTCCGGTTAGCTGAGGCTGTCTAATGCGATAGTTCTTTATGGACTCCGGTTAGCTGAGGCTGTCTTATGTGGTTCTTTATGGATCCCGGTTAGCTGAGGCTGTCTAATGCGATAGTTCTTTATGGACTCCGGTTAGCTGAGGCTGTCTAATGTGGTTCTTTATGGACTCCGGTTAGCTGAGGCTGTCTTATGTGATAGTTCTTTATGGACTCCGGTTAGCTGAGGCTGTCTAATGTGATAGTTCTTTATGGACTCCGGTTAGCTGAGGCTGTCTAATGCGATAGTTCTTTATGGACTCCGGTTAGCTGAGGCTGTCTAATGCGATAGTTCTTTATGGACTCCGGTTAGCTGAGGCTGTCTAATGCGATAGTTCTTTATGGACTCCAGTTAGCTGAGGCTGTCTTATGTGATAGTTCTTTATGGACTCCGGTTAGCTGAGGCTGCCTAATGCGATAGTTCTTTATGGACTCCAGTTAGCTGAGGCTGTCTTATGTGATAGTTCTTTATGGACGGATCCCGGTTAGCTGAGGCTGTCTAATGTGACAGGTTTTGCAGGGTGCAGTGGCCTCTCCCCTTTGGAGACAGCTCTCGCTTCAAGTTTTCAGCTCTTCATCCAAGTTTTGGATAAAGCTTGTACCTTATTTGATCTTTTTTGTTTGTTTGTTAGTAGTTATATTTTGGGTATTTAATTGAGATTCTCATTTGTAATCATTATCTTCCATAGTGAAAAAATTTTTTTTGGTTTTTCAAAAGACAGGGTTTCTCTGTGTAGCTTTGAAGCCTGTCCTGACACTCGCTCTGTAGACCAGGCTGGCCTAGAATTCACAGAGATCCGCCTGCCTCTGCCTCCCGAGTGCTGGGATTGAAGGTGTGCGCCACCAACCCCCGGTGAAAATTATTTTTAATTTTTATTAATTAACTAATTTTTCCCATGCTCAATCAGTTCCCCTCCCTCCTCTCCTCCCAGCCTCTCCCCCAAACATCCCCCTCCCCTCCCATCCACCCCTCCTCCTCCTTTCTCTTCAGAAAAGGGATGCCTCCCCATGTATATCTGCCAGCCAGGGCATATCAAGTTACAGCAAGACTAGGCACCGCCTCTCCTAGTAGGGCTGGATGAGGCAACCCAGTAGGAGGAAAGGTCCCAAAAGCAGGTGTTTGATCATTTTATGTTCCTAGTCTTTGTAGACTCTCTAGGCTGTGTCTACCAATCAGGAAAGTTCCATGCCCCGCCCCCTTAACTGCCTGTAATTTAAGCCAAATATCAGGCACGCCTTGCCAAGTTAATGAAGGAGCCTGACCGTCCTTGCATTTCTGGAGGCTTCTGGCTGTAACATAGGACAGCAGCTGCAGTCTGGTGTAGTCTTTAGGCGGCTCTCCTGGAATGCTTTGTATTATTTGCAAGCCTCTCAGCTCCAGTGCCCAACAGGACCTTTGTGAGGGGGTCCAGCCAGCGTCTGTCACTGCTGGAATCTGAGTTCCTCCTGTCTTAACTGGTAACACATCTCTTGAATAGGGAGTGTTGGCACTAAATTATTTCACTAATCTTGTTTAAGGCAAGGGCTTCTAGAGCGGCCCACGAGGGGTAGCTGGAATGCTGCCAAGAGTTTCACCAGCCTTTGACCAGTTTAATGGGTTGTAAGCAGAAGCAGGGTGTGGATCCAGCATCACCTGGGTTAGCCTTAGGTATCTGAGCATCCTGCTGGGCCCATCTCAGTGGGAGCTGCCCTCTGCTGCACTCGAATGGACACCCCGCGAAAACTGGGTGCCCTGATGGTCTCTGCAGGAAGAAACCGTTGTAGAGCATCACTATATCAAGTAGGTGTTCTGTCCTGATGCCCCAGCAGCTTCGCTGAAGGGGAGAGGACCCGGCTCGGGTCCATCAAAAGGCAGTGGAACGTTTGGGAACATAGGGCTTAAAGTTATAGTTGCATTGATTCCCTTCTCTTCTCTTTGTTGTGAACCGGTGGGGGGGGGGTATCGTTGATATCTGGGATCTCTGTACCCTAGATTGGTCCCCACTGTTAGAGGAATATTTATTATATAAAAATGGTTAAAATTGTGCCCTGCTTTTCCAGAATATATAAATTCAGTTCCCACCATCTACATAAAATTCCCATCACCCATATAAGATGATCCATGACTGTCTGTAACTCCAGTTCCGGGCATCCAATGCCTCTGGGCCCTGGGCCCTGTGGACACCTCTCTCTCTCTCTCTCTCTCTCTCTCTCTCTCTCTCTCTCTCTCTCTCTCTCTCTCTCTCTAATACATACATATATACATATATATAATTGTTTTAACTGCAAGTCCAACAGTCAAATGGCATAAAATTGCAATGGCCCATATAAGAGTCATGTATATCTCTTTTTCATATAACACACACTTAGCCCATATTATAGTGAAGTGCTATGTCCCTAAGAGGGAGTTTAATTTTTTCAATTTTTAATTTTAGTAACAGGGAACTTTTACATCTCTGTTGCAGCTAGTTAAGAGACTTGAACCCCATTCTATGCAGATCTGGTCGTGAACTTGATTCTCTCCCAGCTGGGATCCAAAGGGCACCCCCCACCAGTTCTGTACATTAAGACATTGGTGGTGCACACCCTTGATCCCAGCACTCGGGGAGGCAGAGGCAGGCAGATCTCTGTGAGTTCGAGACCAGCCTGATCTAAAGAACGAGTTCCAGGACAGCCAGGGTTACACAGAGAAACCCTGTCTCAAGGAACAAAACAAAAAAATCAGTCAGGACTGCTCAAAAAGAGCTATGTGCCAGGTGACACAGGAGGGAGGAAGAGACACCCAGAGTTAATATAGACACCTTCATGACCAGAAGCAAACAAACAGGGGAGGTTGTTATCCAGATACCTCAGCCCAGAGGAACTTCTTGGCCAGTCAGGACTTCAGATAAGAACCAGGACTCCTCCACGCATGAGCCGTGGAACTGATCAGTTCTCAAATGCAAACAAATCAAGACCCCCAAAGCCACTGCAGGACTAGGCACTCCTACATGATATGATGAAGGATTCTAAGCTCAGCAACAAGTGTTTCGTTTCATTTCTCAGACTAGAATCCTCAAAAGTTATTCCTGGTATTGGGGGTGCAGAGATGCAGATGTGGGAGTAAGGACAGACAGGGAGAATGATCTGGGGTGACTAACAAGCTGGTGTTAACGTTTGAGGACTCACCAGTCCATTGTGCCCAACACTGCCCATTCTGATTGTCCGAGCTAGCCCTAACTGTCAACTCAACACCTTCAAGACATCTGAGAAGCCTCCCTTGAGGAACTGTCCAGAGCAGTTTGGCTGGGGTCCTGTCTGTGAAGGACTGTCTTGGTCATCGGGTGTGGATGGGCTGCCCACAGTGAGCAACGCCATTCGTAGGCGTGTGGGCTTGGCCTACGTAAAATAGCTTAAGAGTGAACCAACCAGCAAGCAGCATTACTTAGGTTTCTGCTTCAGCTCCTGTCCTAAAGTGTTGCTCTGTCTTCCCTCGCTGACCTTGTGATCTGAATGTGTAAGCCAAGTAAACCTTCTTCTCCCCCAGAGTTGCATCTGGCTAGCACACTGCATCTCGGAAACATTGTTGCCCCGCAATGGTGGTTTCCTGAGGCAGGCAGCTCTCCCGCAAACTTGTCATCGTCTTGGCGGTTGCTGGTTTTGACTATCTCTGCCGCAGCCTTTTGTCTCTGCCTCATGAACACGAGTCCTGCTTGTCTCCCTGGCTCCCTGCAGCTGCCCCTTGCTGCCACGAGACCTGGCAGGTTCCTTCCTCACACCGGCTTCAGGCTGGTAGCGAGCCTGCTGTTCTGTCAGGCACTGTGGGAGAAGCTGGAAATAGAACCGCGAGGCGGCCTTCTAGTGGCTCAGGGAGATGGAGAATGTGGGAGACCAGCACTTTGTGGGAGAAGGTTAGATGCCCTCGGGACTGGAAGACAGGGGAGGGGGGACAACAGGAAGGGTGATGGGGGTGGCCTCACGAGTCAGTGACACCTCAGCAGACATTAGCAGGGGATGGGGGTCTTCATGCACATCTCCGGGAAGAACGCTGATTCAGCCACCAGAGGTGCAAGGTCAAGAGCCCCTAGGCTCAGCTGGGAAGGACAAGGAAGGAAGGCGTCCTGTGTGACCAGAGCTGGGGACATGAGGGCTGAAGGGGAGATGATACAGGCTCTGACTGTAAGCGTTTCGGGATGGGTCGGGACAGGATGGAACAGGAGCGGGTCAGGTATTCTGGCACTCGGGAGTCACAGAATACTGAGTGTTACACATCTCAGGTGGAAAGGTATCCTGGAGCTCGGGAGCCAAGGACCACTACAGGTTGCAGTAAGCTTGGCAGCTTACAGCCTTGCCTCAGAAAAAGGCTTCTCCGGTGTATCAGCTCGGCAGGACAGGGTCTTCCAGCTGGGGATGTTCGCCTAGTGTAGCAGTTTTGCTAGGCAGGAGGTTTCTCGGGCGAAGTTGCTACAGTTCAGCTCTGCTCCTGGAGAGCGGAGAGCGGGGAGCCAGGAGCAGAGTGTAACAACTCTGCTCTACCAAGGAAGGTTTCCCGGGCAAGTGTTACAGCGCTGCTCACTCTGCTCTGCTCTGCTCTGCTCTGCCCAGGGTCGCCTCTGCTTGCTCTGCTCTGCTCTGCCCAGGGTCGCCTCCGCAAAAGAAGATCTTCACCCGAAGCTCATCCAAAGGGGTTTATTGGAAGGCAGCTGGACCAGCCAAGCTGGACATACACAGGGTTTATATAAGGATTCTTGGGGTTGGGGAAGTTTTTCCAGAGTAGGGATTGGTCCGATTTCAGTGCTGAGCTCAGATTGGCTAGAGCTCTGCTCCGGGATTGGTTACTTTTTTACACAGGATTAGGGTCAGATTTGGCTCTGGTTTCAGGGCCAAAGTGTGTTTCTTTCTCTGGTCCTTTTTAGCCTTTTGGTTCCAATTTTAGGGCCAGGGTACATTTCTTTCACTGACTCTGATTCCGGGACAAAATGTGTTCCTTTGGCACTGATTTTAGGGTCAGGGTACATTTCTTTGGTTGTGGTTGCAGGGCCAAAGTGTGTTTCTTTGGCTCTGCTCAGGGTGTGTTTCTTTGACTGGTCCCTTTTCCCTACACTGACCTCTGCCACCCCTCTGCAGATCGACTACCAGTACTCAAGCCTCCCGGCCTCCCTGAGTGAGGGTCGCCTGCGTGTGTACCAGAGCGGGACACGGGGTGTCATAGAGCTGGACTTTGGACTGGTGGTCACCTATGACTGGGATGGCCAGCTGACACTGAGCCTGCCCAAGCACTTCCAAGACCAGGTGTGGGGGCTGTGTGGGAACTATAACGGAGACCCCGCAGACGACTTCCTCACGCCCGACGGGGAGCAGGCTCCTGACGTCCTAAACTTCACCAAAAGCTGGAAGCTGGATGACGGGGACTACCTGTGTGATGACGGCTGCTACGGCAATTGTCCCTCCTGCACCCCAAAGCAGTCTGAGATCTTTAAGGGAGACCTCTTCTGCGGCTTGCTAGCCCTGTCGATGGGCCCGTTTGCTGACTGCCATGGCTTTCTGGATCCCCAGCCTTTCCTGGAGGAATGTGTGTATGACATGTGTGTGACCGGAGGGGAGCGCCTCACTCTGTGCCATGGCCTCAGTGCCTACGCTAGAGCCTGTATGGACCTGGGCGTCCCTGTCCGGGAATGGAGGTCGCGAACCAACTGCCGTGAGTTACAGCCAGGGGTGGGAGGTCTTGGTGAGGGGGCCAGGGAACTGCCGGATCTGCTTGGTGACTGGGCACCAGCTGTGTTTCTACCTAGCGACAGGCAATAACGGGAACACTGTGATGGCCAAGACACCCCAGCTCTACTAGAGGGCGCCCAAGGCTGGGACGCACATGATCCTGTCCAGACAGCTGGCACGAGAGGACACTGGAAACTCTAGAGTAGATGGAGGGGGCGCAGGACAAGGCTGGGGGGTTCTAGAGAGATAAGTGACGCTAGATACAGCTTTGGAGACACAAATGTCCTATTTGAAACCCATGGGAAGGACTGGAGTAGCCAGAAAGGAGAAGAAGGTTGTGGGCTCCTGACCCGGGGAACCACAGAGATTTGCCAGGCAAGGTAGTCCGCTAAGTTACGAGATAAAAGTCAATGGCCAGTCTTTGCTTGTAACACTCCCGTGACTCCCCGGCCCTCCGTACTAAGCCACAGATGACCAGAGCTTAAGACTAGGACTTCGGAAGGGTGCAGGTGCAGAGGCAGACAAAGACACTGGACTTCCTGCATCACTGTGATACGCCGTTGTCCAGTAAGCCTCCCAGTAAGTCTCTCCAAACCCCAGACAAGGGGAAACCAGCGAGTTCAGTGCCCGGCCTGAGCACCTCTTAGGCCCAGTGGCCGGTGCTGAAGATTCAGTGTGACTGAGTCAGGCTGTGTCTCCACTCCAGCAGAACTTACATCCCAGGTGGGCAGGGACAGGCAGGCAGTTAGCAGATCAACTATGAAATGCCTTCAAAGAACAAAGAAAGCCAGGTCCTGTGATAGTATCTGGAAGCTCGGGGAAGACTTTGCAAATCAATGGCACCAGGTCCCTGGGCACAGCGAGGCGGAAGGAATCAGCAAAGCCATCCCAGTGAAGGCACGGACCACCCCTTATTCAATCTGTGTAACCAGTGACATCAGTGTTGCGTCACCCCATTTACTCCCTGGCAAGGAGAACGCTGGTGTTGGAGTCCGAGCTGTCTGGGCTCCTGTAGCCTTTGGTACAGGGGTCCAGGACACCAGGCAGGAGGCTGCTGTAGTTCATGGGCTGTGGAGACAGACTCTGGGTGGGCTGGGACTGTGGAAGTCACAGGATTTGCCCACTGACTGGTTGTCCAGGGCTGGGGTGGGGGAGGGCCATTGGGCCCTGATCAACAGGAAGGCGTGAGTGCCTGTACCTGAGGGGCGTGGAGCTCTGAGGAAGCAGCATTGTCTGGGGGAGCCCCACCATAGCATGACTCAACCCTTTCTCCCCATCCCTCCAGTCCTGTCCTGTCCAGCCAACAGCCACTACGAGCTCTGCAGCCCTGCCTGCCCAGCCTCCTGCAACTCAGAAGCCGCACCCGCCAACTGCTCTGAGCACCCCTGTGTGGAGGGCTGCGTCTGCCTTCCAGGCTTCGTGGCCAACCGAGGCCATTGTGTGCCTGTGTCATCCTGTGGCTGCACCTACCAGGGCCGCTTGCTGGCACCGGGGCAGGAGGTGTTTGCGGACGACCTATGCCGGCAGCGCTGTACCTGTGATGGGGCCACCCAGACGGTGACCTGCCAGGACACATCGGGATGTCTGTCTGGGGAGCGCTGCGGAGTACAGAATGGCTTCTTGGGTTGCTACCCGGAATACTTCCGCAGCTGCCAGGCGTCCGGGGACCCTCACTACATGACCTTGGATATGCGGAGCTACAACTTCATGGGTACCTGCACCTACATGCTTATCGCCTCGTGTGACCAGCACCCCTCCCTCCCCGACTTCAAAGTGGCTGTGGAAAACGAGCGTCGGGGAAGCCAGAGCGTGAGCTTTGTGCATTCTGTGCAGCTGGAGGCCTATGGAGTGAAGTTGGAGGTGCCCCGGGACTACCCAGGCAGAGTACTGGTGAGTGTCTCTCGGCCATGGAACTGGGAGGGGCGGAAAGCCACTGAGAGATTAGTGGCTGGAGGGAGGAGTGGGGTTCACTCGGCGATCATATGGTTAAGGTCCACGCCTCAGATTTAGCCTCTGCTATCTGGGAGAGCAGTTCTGATTTCCCCCAGCCTGTCTTCCCTCGCCACCAGGAACCACCTATCTGTCTGGCTTTGACCTCTTCTTTGAGTCCTCTTTCTCCTCAGGATGGGCCCCAACACATCACCTTTTTGTTTGTTTGTTTGTTTGTTTGAGACAGGGTTTCTCTGTATTGCTTTGGAGGCTGTCCTGGAACTCTCTCTGTAGACCAGGCTGGTCTCGAACTCACAGAGATCCGCCTGCCTCTGCCTCCCGAGTGCTGGGATTAAAGGCGCGCGCCACCAACGCCTGGTTCGTCACTTCTTTCCAGGCTGTCTGCTGTGTTATTCATAATGAGGGCCGAACTAGCCTCACTCACTAGGACTGAAAGGCAGAGCCCTGAAGCAGTTGGCTAGGCAAGGGACAAAGGACAACCCTTTCACACAAGTCCAAACCTAGAAGGCAAGTGCCCAGCTTCAAGCCTCCACAAACAGGTTTTGCAAATCTACCATAAGTCCCATCGCACGATCAAAATAGCTTCTCTGCCATCCTTGAGTCTTGATATAGGTAAAGTCAAGTCTACAGACAGCTGTCACCCACCCCACCCCCAAAAATGTTAAAAGCCAGGCCTGATGACTCATACCGATCCCAGCACTCGGGAGGCAGAGACAGACAGATTTGTGAATGCCAGTCTAGCCTGGTCTACCAGTACCAGGCCAATTAGGAATATATAGTAATACCCTGTCTCAAAGATAGATAGATAGACAGACAGACAGACAGACAGACAGACAGACAGACAGACAGTGCCTGGTGTAGTGGCGCACACCTTTAATCCCAGCACTGGGGAGGCAGAGACAGAAGGATCTCTGTGAGTTTGAGGTCAGCCTGGTCTACATAGTGAGTTCCAAGACAGCCGGAGGTATAGAAAGACCTTGTCTAAAGTGTGTGTGTAGAAATGAATTGTTGGTTATTCACACAATAGGTCATAACTATAAGAGGGAAGTTTGGGTAATGGCCAGTGCCCTGGAGAGGAAGGGTGGACAAATTAAAAGTGGGAAACCTAACTTCCCTTGGGCTAGGCTCTGTACTCCCTCCCCCTCGTGGTTGGTATGGAAAGGCTCTAGATAAAGAGAGGGCACAATTATTACTAGGTATTAACATTCTGCCACCTCTCTGATAGGACATTTCCCCTGAGGTTTGACTATTGACTAACAATGCGTATTAAAACAACTAAATGCAAAGGTCAGACTAAGCCGAGAGGTTTAGAGTGCTGTGGGTACGGGGAGACGGGCAAAGCGGGCACCCTGACCTGTGGTCCTCCTGCATCTCCACCCAGCTGGATGGCATCAGTCACTACCTGCCCTTTCAAGCCGCAGGTGGGAAAATCGTAGTGTTCCGCCAAGGCAGGTACGCCATGCTGCGCACGAGCTTTGGCCTGACTGTCAGTTACAACTGGGACACGCACGTGACTGCCAAGGTGCCCAGCAACTACGCTAAAGCCGTGTGTGGGCTCTGCGGGAACTTCAACGGGGACCCTCATGATGACCTGGGTATTCAGAGTATGGGCGAAGCCCTTGACCCCCGAGACTTCGGGCGGAAGTGGCTGGTGACGGCAAAGCCCGGCTGCAGAACAGATGAACAACTTGTGTGCCCCGACATAAACAGCAAGTTGGTGGTGCAGAACAAGGAGAAGTGCCAGGTCCTCAGGGACAAGGACGGTCCATTCAGGGACTGCAGGGAAGTAGGCTCGTTCAGCAATGCCTTCATAGAGTGTGTCTACGACAGCTGCCGCATGCGGGGCCAAATTAAGCCACTGTGTGACACACTGTCCACGTACACCGCCATATGCCAGGCCGAAGGCGTCACTGTGTATCCCTGGAGGAGCGAGACTCTTTGCCGTGAGTACCAGGAGTGGCGAGCAAGGGGTTGGATCTGGTGTTTGCTCATTAACATTCAAGTAGCATCGCTTAATCCTTATGATGCCTGGTGAGGAAGGGGCTGCGCTTATGCCCTGGAGCTAAGGGACGGCAGCGTGACACTAAGGAGTCACAGGTGACAGCACTTGTGACCCAGTACAGCTGGCGACCCCAAGTTTGATGGCCGGTGACAACCCTCAGTCAGAGACAATAGGGAGCTATTGCATATTTGAAATGAGACTGCTATGACCAAAAGACAGAACCTCCCCTCTTCATTTTATTTCCCTTTCGTGCAAATGGCCAGCATGCCCAGAGCCCGCAGTATCATAGCACGGGGTATTGCAATAGCACAGGGTATTGCAATAGCTCGGGGCGCTGCACTAGCTCAGGTAGGGGAGTTCTTCTGGTTTGGTTTCAGTGGTTTGGGCTTTGGCCAACTTTTTCAGTTTGATTTTATGTGACACTGAGGTGTGGACGCAGAGCCTGACCCAAGCTTGGCAAGTTCTGCCAGGGAGCTCAGCCCAGCCTGCTTGGCTGGGTGCTTCCTTCTCTCTCGTCCAGCCGCTTGACTGGTAAGTCTGAGTGACTAGTGTTTAGGGACGGAAAGAAGAAATGGTTTGATCCAGTTGGTTGATTATTTTTAAGGCTGATTTATTCCATGTGTGTGGGTGTTTTGCCCACATATATGTCTATGCACCAACGGGTATTCAGTGCCCAAGGAGGTCAGAAGAGGGCATCAGATGTCCTGGGACGGAATTTAGAGTCCCTTGTGAACCACCGCATGGGTGCTGGGAACTGAAGCCAGGTCCTCCGCAAGAGCAGCAAGTGCTCCTAACCACTGAGCCATCCCTCCAGCCCCACGTTTGGTTATTCATTTGTTCATTCTAACACTAAATGTTTTCGCTAAACTGTGGTATAAGTAACTATTTTTCAATTGCTAAGTATTACTTAATATTTGATATTACTAAAGTAATATTTTATTAATACTATAAAATGAAGAAGCTAGTGCTATATTCACTCACATACTGCGAAGATTCTACATACAGGCAGGCATAAGCTTATTTAAAATACATCACACATATTAGCATGTATACCCAATATTAACAGTGTCATTAAAGATACTACAGATTGACCACAAACCACAGTTGCACCAGATCTGAATTTTATTTCTGAGGCTCAGAAACAATGATGAAAGGTATACCCTTGGTCATACTGAACATGGTAGTTTCTTGAAACAGGGCCACTTTGTGTGTGTGTGTGTTTGCAAGCATGTGTGTGTGTGTATTTGAAAGCGTGTGTGTGTTTTTTGCAAGCATGTGTGTGTGTGTGTATTTGCAAGCATGTGTGTGTGTGTGTGTGTGTTGTGTGTACTTGTATATATTGGGGAGCCAACTGTGTCAAACCAAGAGTAAAAATCTTTGATCTGATGGCTTCTCTCTCTGCAGCAATGAATTGCCCTCCTCACAGCCACTATGAGCTGTGTCATCGAGGCTGTCCGTTGACCTGCGGAGACTTGCCAGTGCCTGGTGGCTGTGACTCCAATTGCCACGAGGCCTGTGTCTGTGATGAGGGATTTGTCCTCAGTGACGAGACTTGTGTACCCCTGGCCTCCTGTGGTTGCATATATCAGGGCACTTACCACTCTGTGGGAGATGACTTCTATCCTGGACCTGAATGCAATTCCCTTTGCCACTGTCACAAGGGTGGCCTGGTGGCCTGCCAGCCCTCGTATTGCAGCCCCCATGAAATCTGCAAGGTGTCCAATGGCATCCTGAGATGCGTGGCTGTGGACTCAGCCACCTGCCAGGTATCCGGAGCGTCGCATTACACCACGTTTGACGGCCGGCGATTTGACTTTATGAGTAGCTGTGTGTTTGTGCTGACTCAGACCTGCTGGACCCGGCCCGGTCTGCAACAGTTCACCATACTGCAGGAGAAGGCGGCGGCCTGGGACAGCACGCAGGTCGGTGTGATCAAGATGATCACCATCCAGGTGGGCAACCACACCCTGCAACTGCAGCAGAACCAATGGAAGGTGAAGGTGAGAGCATAGGCGGGGCCCTAGGGGAGGTGTGGGCCTTGGGGGTGACGTGTGAGGCCTGCAGGGGCAGTGCTCAGCACGGGGGGGGGGGCGGGGCTGGTCAGGGGCTCAAAGTATGTGAGGCAGCACAACCTCAACAAGAGGAGGAAGGACAGAAAGCAAGGAGGCCTGGGGCCTGGGGGCCTTTCCCACAAGGCTTTGCGTCTCCTGCTCTGCCCTTACCCGATCCTCTCCTTATCTTCCTGTGTACTCCCGCCACACTCGGTCCCTGCCCACTGTGGGACACTACTCCTGGGAAGACACAGACACACAGACACAGACACAGACGTGTGTGCACGCGCGCACACACACACACACACACACTACTCACTTCATTATAGACACACACACACACACTACTCACTTCATCACAGACACAGACCTCGTGGCAATTGGAGCCACAGCCACCAGGCACTGGCAGGTCTCCGCAGGTCAACGGAAAGCTCGATGACACAGTGGCTGTGAGGAGGGCAATTTGTTGTTGCAGAGAGAGAAGCCATCGGATCAAAGAGTTTTACTCTTGGTTGGACACAGTTGGCTCCCCGATACTCACAAGTACACATTCACACACACTACTCACCCCTTGGTGGGAACCAATGACAGGACAACATACAAATACCACCCAAGTTCAGCTTGGCAAACCAACGAGTTTATTGGGTTCCTTAAAGGACTGTACACTCATGGGGCGTAAACAGCTCCAAGGTAGCTGGTGTTGACTTTGGATGCTGAAACTCTGGAGCTTTTTCTACCACCTTCAGTTAGCTCTACAAGTGGGAGAGTCTCCAAGCAGCCTCTGCTGCTTATATAACCTTGGGGAAGAGGGACCATGTGAACCTGCCAAGTTTTAGGAACTTCCTGCGACTTGCGAGTTATTAGTCCTTATTATGTCCTTGGTCTTACGGAACTTCCATTAGCTCATGAGCCTCCCTCAAGGATGAAATGTATTCACAGGAAATTTCTACCCAGCACTGCCCTAGCCACCTCCTTGGTCTCCTACCCACAAGGAGCATTTGACAGTCACAGCATAGAAAGGTCAGAGGTGAGAAAGGCCCACCAATACAGCAGTACAGCAGCTACCCATTTTGCACGCTGTCCCCAGGCCCGTTGACTGCTAGGCACCCGGCACCCTCACCATCAATTTAACCTTAAGATTGCAGCTGGAGAAGGCACCATGATTGGCTTAATTTTTTGGAAGACAAGATCCCATCACCGTGTTAAAAATCTTTTAGCAGCTGGGTGATGGCGCACGCCTTTAATCCCAGCACTCGGGAGGCAGAGGCAGGTCGATCTCTGTGAGTTCCAGACCAGCCTGGTCTACAAGAGCTGGTTCCAGGACAGCCTCCAAAGCGACAGAGAAACACTGTCTCTAAAAAAAAAAATCTTTTAGCAATGTCTGTTTGCTAAGAAACAGCACAGTGGATTATGAACCACACCCTGTTGCTTTTCTGAATTGGAAGGATCGGGTCTCGGGTGGAGACTGCTTTTGAGATACACTGGGACTATGCCTCACTGACAGGCAGCACACAACCATTGTTGTGTAAGCAGTAGTTATTAGAGCTGTCACATGCCCTGGACAGGGCTACAGGATGCGCTGTCTTCCCTAACAAGCCCCAAGCTCTGAGATTAGCCCCTCACAAAGCAGCAGCTCCAGACACACGGGGACAGTCTCTCTGTCCTTCATTGGGATCTCACCAAACCCCAGCTTCCCTGCGACTGTCCCTCACTGCAGAGGGAGAACTGAGCCCAGAGGTTAAGTGAGTCGTCCTTATTCACGGCCAGCCTGCTGGGGAGAGACGGCTGTTGATGTCTTTAGAACATTCTAGATGTGCCTAGAGCATGTCTTTCCCCTGGCCCCTCCCCGTCTCCTCACATGCGGGTGCATGTGCTGAGGAAGGGAACAGAGAGGTTGACAGGGGTGCCCCTCCCGGGCCTGGTTGGAGCCAGAGTCCCCAGGGGATCTGCAGATGAGGGATGGAGCCTGACTCTGCATCCAGTCCCGCAGGCAGGTCTGCGACCCTGGGCTGTCCAGATGAAGACTTGTAAACATAGCCCCAGCCACGGGAGGGGCCACTGGGGGGGCCACAGTGCAAGCCTTTGTACACATTATGTATCAGATTCCTAGACAACAAGGCTGGCAATCGACTCCCTAGACAGACAGGAAGCGGTGACACAGGGCAGGGAGGGGTCAATGGCGAGCTGTGCTTGAGCCCAGCCTCCAGGTTCAGTCCCTGCATCATCATTCACGTGTCCCCTGGTAACGAAGGGTCCCCTCGCCCAGGCTGGTGAGGTCCCTACCCCTCTGAGACCTGTGATGGTTTCCTGGTGGCTGCTGTGACAAAAACGCCACAAACGTGCTGACTTAAAATAGCGTGTTGGACTGGTGAGGTGGCTCAGCCGGTAAAGGCACTCACAGCGAGCTCGGTGGCCGAAATTCAAGCTCTGGGAAACGAGAGATGTCCCTGTGTGGGCTCCCTCCCACAAGTACTGAAACAAAATGTATGGGAAAACTTTCTTAACATAACCTACATTTATATTCTTAACAGCTCTGGGTGTGGAATCTAAAGTCAAGATGGCTACAAGGCCCCGCCTCCTCCAGAGGCCGCAGGGGAGAAGACTTCTTGCCTCCCCAGCTTTTGGTGGCTCCAGGATGTCCCTAGGCTTACAGTGTCAACACTCCATCCTGACTACTGGGTCTTCCCATGCCACCCTCCCTGTGGACTCTGTCCTACTCCGATGCCTCACAGGAAACTTGTCATTGGGTTTAGGGACCACTGTGATTCACGGTGTTCTCATGTCAAGATTATAACTTTAAATTACACTAACAAAGACGCTTTCCCAAATGTGGTCACCTTTCAACGTCCCGGCTAGGATAAGACAATGTTATTATACATATTTTATAAATGTGGAAACTGAGGACCAGAAAGATGGGGTCACTCCAGACTTCAGTGTCTGACAGGGGCAGACTAGGGATATTTAGTGGCAGATGGCCTCAAAGCGTGCCCTCTGAAGCTTGGCATTCCCTGCTTTCCAGGTGAACGGCGTGGACATGAAGATGCCTGTCATGCTGGACGGGGGCAGTGTCCTGGCCTTCCAGCATGGCATAGACGTGGTAATCGAGACCAAATTCGGCCTGCACGTGTCCTTCGATCTCAACAACAACGTGCGTGTCACCATCCCCCGTAACTACTATAGACACATGTGTGGCCTGTGTGGGGACTACAATGATGACCCCAAGAATGACTTCCGGAAGTCCGATGGCTCACAGGCAGCCAACCCCATTGAGTTGGGTAACTCCTGGACACAGGCCGACCCAGACTCTTCCTGTATACTCCCACCTGTCTGCAAACCAGAACAGGACTGCAAACCAAAGTGCAGCCCTGAGCTGGAGGACAAATATCACGGGCCACAGTTCTGCGGGCTGCTCACCAACCCCACGGGGCCGCTGGCTGCCTGCCACAAGCTGCTGGACCCTGAGGGTCCCTTGAAAGACTGCATCTTTGACCTGTGCCTGGGTGGCGGGAACATAAGCATTCTCTGCAACAACATCCACGCCTATGTGAGCGCCTGCCAGGCAGCCGGAGTGAAAGTGGAGCCCTGGAGGACGGAAACCTTCTGTCGTGAGTGACGGACGGGACACTGAAGGCTAGGGAAAGGGAAGCTTGGGGAACGGGAGGGTAGGACCCAACCCTCACTCTGGTGCCCTAATCAGCACCCCCTCCTCACAGCAATGGAGTGCCCCCCTCACAGCCACTATGAGGTCTGCGCAGACACCTGCTCCCTGGGCTGTTCGACCGTCACCACTCCGATAGCGTGCCCAGACAGGTGCTCCGAGGGCTGCGAGTGTGACAGTGAGTACCTGCAGAGCTTCACGGGCTGTGTGCCCATGGAGAGGTGTGGCTGCCACTACAGTGGAGTCTGCTATGAGGTAGGAGCCCGGCCGTCTCCACAGAACCTGGAACTTCCTCCTGAGCCAAGCCCACCGCTCATCAGCACTATGGGCCTTTCCCACCTCCTGACTAACTCCCGGCCCCCGTCTGACCCCTTTCCTCACCCTGACAGGGTGCACCATGTCCTCATCCAGTCCTTAATTTTTCCGCTTATGGCACTAGAAAAGTTCTTTCCAAATGTCACCACCGGTAATGATGTTTTAAACTCTCCCTGGCTCCCAAAGATAAGACTTAACCATTTTGTGCTGTGTCTGGGCCAAGATGGCTGTCCTGTTGTCAGTCAGCTGGGCAGAGCCCTTCTGCTCCGCTGAGACAAAGATCTTATGGGAGAAAGGGAAAGCTTTGCAAGCCATGACCCTGGCACTTTTTGTTGTTGTTGTTGTTTTTGTCTTTTCAAGACAGGGTTTCTCTGTATAGCCCGGTAGACCAGGCTGGCCTGGAACTCACAGAGATCCGCCTGCCTCTGCCTCCCGAGTGCTGGGATTAAAGGCGTGCACCGCCTGGCTCTCCTGGCTACTTTGTATCCACAGGTGCTTGACATCAGCAAGCAGGCAAGAGCGGCTGGTGGCCTCTAGAGTCACAGCTCTGGTTCAGGCTTGGGTAGCAAGACCCTTAGCTTTGGAAGTGTCACAGCTCTCAGGAAGGCCTGAGAGGTCAAAGGTTTCTTAGCCATCGGCAGCAGCCAGTGTTCCACCCTGGGCCTGGGGAGTGAGAGTCCCTTGCGTGCAAAGCGCTTTGGAACTCTCCCGGCAACCAGAGCCTGGCGTTTCTCTTCTAGCTCTTTATGTACAGCACCCTGTCCTCCCCGGGCCAGTCTTCATCTTTCCCAGATCTGCCACCCGCTCTACCCCCCGCTCCCCCCGCCCCCGCTTGGGCCCACAGCCACTCTGCCGCTTACCCAGCTGAGCCCTCCCCCAGCTCCGCTGGCCTCTTCTGGCTGCCAAGCTTTGCAGAGCTTACACCTGGGCTTGTGGCTGCCGCCATTGCCACTCCGATATCTCTGTTGCCACTGCCCTTGGCTATCTATCGGAGGCCTTTTACTTGCCCTCCTCTTCTAGAACCACGGAGGGCGGCACAGGGGAACGCCCTGTCTCCCAGCTGGCTCGCTAGGTAAGCTGAGGCACATGCACTCCCAATAACACAGGAGACACTGTATTAATTATGTAGCTGTTGGCCGTTTGCTTGGTTTCTTATTGGCTAGCTCTGACTTAATTATTAACCCATAGCTGCTCATCTGAGCATTTCCACACACTCTTCTCTTACCAGAGAAAGGGTCCAGACCTCTTATTCCTCTCCTGTCCAACATGGTGACTGACTGTGCATCCATTTCCCAGAATCCTCCACCTCTCCTAGTCCCACCTATCTTGCTTCCCTATTGGCCAGCAGTGCTGTATTTATCAACCAATAGGACAAACATGCACACAGAAGGACTTCCCCCATCAACTTTTCATTGTGAAATCAAAGGTGTGATGTTAAGAGAATAGTGCACTCTATCACGGTGCTCATACAGCACATATATAGTGAAATATGTCACCGTGCTCACACAGCACATATATAGTGAAATATGTCACCGTGCTCACACAGCACATATATAGTGAAATATGTCACCGTGCTCACACAGCACATATATAGTGAAATATGTCACCATGCTCACACAGCACATATATAGTGAAATATGTCACCGTGCTCACACAGCACATATATAGTGAAATATGTCACCGTGCTCACACAGCACATATACAGTGAAATATGTCACCGTGCTCACACAGCACATATACAGTGAAATATGTCACCATGCTCACACAGCACATATACAGTGAATATGTCACCATGCTCACACAGCACATATATAGTGAAATATGTCACCGTGCTCACACAGCACATATATAGTGAAATATGTCACCGTGCTCACACAGCACATATACAGTGAAATATGTCACCATGCTCACACAGCACATATATAGTGAAATATGTCACCGTGCTCACACAGCACATATATAGTGAAATATGTCACCGTGCTCACACAGCACATATACAGTGAAATATGTCACCATGCTCACACAGCACATATACAGTGAAATATGTCACCGTGCTCACACAGCACATATATAGTGAAATATGTCACCATGCTCACACAGCACATATACAGTGAAATATGTCACCATGCTCACACAGCACATATACAGTGAAATATGTCACCATGCTCACACAGCACATATACAGTGAAATATGTCACCGTGCTCACACAGCACATATACAGTGAAATATGTCACCGTGCTCACACAGCACATATACAGTGAAATATGTCACCGTGCTCACACAGCACATATACAGTGAAATATGTCACCGTGCTCACACAGCACATATACAGTGAAATATGTCACCGTGCTCACACAGCACATATACAGTGAAATATGTCACCATGCTCACACAGCACACATATAGTGAAATATGTCACCATGCTCACACAGCACATATATAGTGAAATATGTCACCGTGCTCACACAGCACATATACAGTGAAATATGTCACCGTGCTCACACAGCACATATACAGTGAAATATGTCACCATGCTCACACAGCACATATACAGTGAAATATGTCACCGTGCTCACACAGCACATATACAGTGAAATATGTCACCATGCTCACACAGCACATATACAGTGAAATATGTCACCATGCTCACACAGCACATATACAGTGAAATATGTCACCGTGCTCACACAGCACACATATAGTGAAATATGTCACCATGCTCACACAGCACACATATAATGAAATATGTCACCATGCTCACACAGCACATATATAGTGAAATATGTCACCATGCTCACACAGCACATATACAGTGAAATATGTCACCGTGCTCACACAGCACATATACAGTGAAATATGTCACCGTGCTCACACAGCACATATACAGTGAAATATGTCACCGTGCTCACACAGCACATATACAGTGAAATATGTCACCGTGCTCACACAGCACATATATAGTGAAATATGTCACCGTGCTCATGTAGCACACATATAGTGAAATATGTCACCGTGCTCACACAGCACATATACAGTGAATATGTCACGTGCTCACACAGCACATATATAGTGAAATATGTCACCGTATACCTATGCATCCATTAGCTTTGATGGTAATTGTCTTTTCCCCTGACTTGCCTCACCGTTACCCCTTTACAGAGCAGCCCGGAGTATTGAAAAGTGTCTCTTTGCTTTCGTCTGGACCTCACCCATTATACCAACTCCACTGTCTTAGTTCTGTCGTATTATACAGTCTGCAAACGAGGAAGGTGACACAAAGACATTCAGTCATGTTGTCTAGAGTATGAGAGAGCAAGCTGCACCGGAGACTTTGCTCTGGTTCTTTTGTTGTTGTTGTTTTGTTGCTGTTGTTGTTTTGATGGTCTTGGTATGTGACCCTAAGTGACTCACTCCGTAGTCCAGACTGGCCTCAAACTCTCAGCAACCCTCTTCCCTCAGCCTCCCTAGTGATATAATGGCGTCCACCACTAAGCCTGGTTGGCTTTTTCATTGACTACTTAACTCTACTTCTCCTAAACAGTGCGTGTTTTAGGATGAATAGGTGAGTGGATGAATAAAATGAATGAATGTGTTGGGCCTCCAAGCCGTGCTGTGCAATCAGAATAACTGACAATGGGTCACAATGCTTAGAGCCGTCCCCTAGCATTCTCTGTGCCTGGAACACTAGAGATGCCACAGTCGGCACCCCCTCTGGCTACTGATGGCATGCCCTGTGTCCCCACAGCCAGAGGAGTCCGTCCTCATTGAAAACTGCCAGCGACATTGTGTGTGCCACGCAGGAGAAGGCATGGTGTGCAAGGATCACAGCTGCAAGCCAGGACAGGTGTGCGAGCCCTCAGGAGGCGTCCTGACCTGCGTCACCAAAGGTACTGTGCGGCGGGGCTGGGCTGGTGTTGGGAACACAGGACAGGGGCTAGGAGCTGGGGGTGACACAACTGAATGGTGAGAGGTGCAGAGGGCTGTGGATTGGGGTGTCAGACCCCAGGCTGGGGTTCCAGGAGCCAAGGGCAGGGGTCATCCAGTCTGGGTGTCCAGGAACCGTAAGGGATTTGAGGCCGTGGGAAGCAAGGCTTTGATGGTGCATGCCAAAGGCGCTCGGAGGACTGCAGGGCTGGTGGACTTTTTCTCTCAATGGTAACTACTTAAGTGTGCAAGCCACAAGGCCTGGAGCATAACTGCTCACTGCAACACAGCTTCACTTACAACCACCAACACCACAGGGTCCTATGCCTCCTTGGCCACTGACTCATTGGATTAGACATGGGGTTTCCAACACCAGCACCAAGGGTCAGGGCACTGGGAAATCAGGGCTCTGAGTTTCGAAGGCCATTGATCCCAGGGCAGAGTCAGAGACAAAATAAAGAACAAACCTGGACTACGGGGATCCCCTTCAAGCAGAGGATCATGTCTCAGTTCTCAGCAGGGGCCCCACTCATCCAAACTTGGGGACACAATTTTAACCTCATGCCACTTTCCCCGGAAGGCAGCCCTCCCCTGTAATGAGTAAAGAGTAATCCCAGAGCTGAAGACTGAGCTGACACAGTCGGAGATGAGGAGGAGGATTCCAGAGTCGCTGAGGAACCGGTTATATTGATCAGGGTCAAATCAGAAGTGTTTGGGGGTGTGGCTCAGTGCTTGCCTGGCCGGCACAGCACCCTGGAGTGCGTCTCCAGCACTAGACTTGGGGAAAGGTGCCACCAGTACGCACTGCTATCGGGCAAAGAGACACACTAGTCACAGAAGACCCATGGAGTGGGGCTTCCAGGGTTTCCTTCACCACAGAGGAAGGCAAGGATTGGGCAGTGCCACACCCTGAGCCTACCTCCACCTCACTGGAGAAGACACCGCTGCAGCCACTGAGTGACAGAGGCCCCTGCAGGCTGAGTTGCAGGGGTGAACAACCCTTCCCCCTTGCAAATGCTGGAGAAAATCATCTGGAAGCAGCCACCTAGTATATCTAGGTGACCAGGTAAAGAGTCAGTGTCGGCTGCTGGAGGACACCCCCCTCCAAGACTCCACAGTGCCCTCTGCTGACAAAACTCCCAGGCCGATTTCAAATAGGAAACAAGATAGGGCAGCAAGTTTGAAGGCTCGATGCCTAGGCTCAGAGCGTGTATGTGGGTCCCATACCTGGAGACATGGATATGGTGACACTAACAGGGAGCCTTGCACATGGACGCTTTCCAAGATAAACCTCAGTAAGGAGACTCCTAAGGCAGAAGACACCACCACCCACGAAATGAGCTCGCACCCCAGGCTATGAGATAAAGTGTGAGTTGATGGGGCCCTAGACACAGAAATCTCACCAGGAAATCAGGGACTAAGGTCTTGAGGCTAAGAACAGAGAGCTAGAGTCAGAAGGTGTTGGTGTCCCCTGGAACAGAAGTTACAGGTGACTGGGAGCCTCCGTGTGGATACCATGAGGCAAACCCGGGTCTTCTGCTGAGCCACCTCTGCAACGTTTTCCACAGCAGCCCAGGGACTCGGGGGCGTAGGCGTCAGCACTGGTGCTGGGAACCCGGTCTCCCCTGTGGTAACATTCAGAACCAATATTCCTGGTACACTCTGACTTAGATTCTGGGAGCAGGCAGGCTGTGGTGGGCAACACCTCAAGAACGTGTCTCCTGTTTCCACAGACCCCTGCCAAGGTGTCACCTGTCGGTCACAGGAAACGTGCAGAGAGCGAGGTGGCAAGGGTGTGTGCGTGCCCAACTATGAGGCCAAATGTGGGGTGTGGGGAGACCCCCACTATAACTCCTTTGATGGCTTGAACGTCAGCTTCCATGGGACCTGCAGCTACCTGCTGGCAGGAAGTGTCTGTCCTGGGCTCAGCGATGACGGGCTAACCCCCTTCAAGGTCATCACCAAGCATGAGAGTCAGGGCAATCCTGCTGTGTCCAACGTGAAGAAGGTCACCGTGACTACCTACAACTCCAGCATCGACATCCACAAGAAGGCGATTGGCAGAGTCCAGGTACGTTCAGGCCGCTCAAGCACTCAGAGGAGACCAGATTTGGACTCTCGACCAATCAAGAGCTTGAAAATAGATTCTGATGCCAGGTGTTGTTCCCAAGACCTGGTGCTGACCTTAATGTCAGTCAGGAGGAAGCCCTTGGCGGAAGGAGGGAGTGAACCAAGACAGCGGAGGCCATAGCTGCACGTGCTCTAACCCCTCACGCCATCCGCTGCCCTGTCTCCCCAGGTGAATGGAGTTCTGATGGCCTTGCCCGTCTATCCAGCTGGTGGGCGGATTTCAGTGGTTCACGGAGGCTCCAAGGTTGTCCTGGAGACTGACTTCGGGCTTCAGGTCACCTACGACTGGAACTGGAGGGTAGAGGTCACGCTGCCCAGTAGCTACCACGGTGCAGTGTGCGGGCTCTGTGGAAACATGGACAAAGATCCTCAAAATGACCAAGTCTTCCCTAATGGCACGGTGGCACCCTCCATACCCTCCTGGGGTGGCAGCTGGCAGATTCCAGGGTGGGACCCTCTTTGCTGGAATGAATGCCAGGGTTACTGTCCAATGTGTCCAGAGGACCGAATGGAGGAGTATGAGGGTCCTGGCTACTGTGGACCTCTGTCTCCTGACACCGTGGGACCCTTCGCCAGCTGCCACGCCCATGTGCCCCCTGAGAGCTTCTTCAAGGGCTGTATGCTGGACCTCTGCTTGGGTGGTCAAGTCAAAGACATACTATGCCAGGCACTGGCTGCCTATGCCAAGGCCTGCCAGGCTGCTGGCATCCAAATCATGGACTGGAGGACTCAGGCTGGCTGTGGTGAGTGGCGGGGTCAGGGCAAGCGCTGGGCTGGCTCCCCCCTCCCACACTTTGGGGGTTTTCTCTGTCTGTCGCTGTGTGTCCCCAGATCTTCATCTCTCTGTCTCTCTCTCCATCTGCTCTACGCCGTCTCAGCTTCCTTTCCTGACTGTCACTGGATCTGTAAGCCTCCCTGTCCCCTCTGTCTCTGCGGATGTCTTCTCCCGCTCCATCCCCAGAGGCCACTCTAACGCCATTCTTCATTTCTCCCCTTCCTCTACCCACAGAGATCGCCTGCCCTGACCACAGCCACTATGAGCTCTGTGGCCCACCGTGCCCAGCCAGCTGCCCGCCCCCCTGCACGCCACACAACCCCAGCTGCGTGTGACGGGCCCTGTGTGGAGGGGTGCCAGTGTGACCAGGGCTTCGTGTGGAGTGCTGAGCAGTGTGTTCCCCTGGACGGCGGCTGTGGCTGCTGGGTCAATGGCACATACCATGAAGCAGGCACTGAGTTTTGGACTGATGCCACCTGCTCTAAGAGGTGTCACTGCGGACCTGGAGGTGACTCCTTGGTCTGCACGTCTGCCAGCTGCAGACCAGATGAGAAGTGTGCCTTGTTGCCCTCTGGCCAGCTCAGCTGCCAACCTATAAGCATAGCTGAGTGCCTGATCTTGGGCGATCCCCATTATGTCACCCTAGATGGGCACCGGTTTGACTTCCAAGGCACCTGCGAGTACCTGCTGAGCGCACCCTGTCATGATCCACCCACGGGGACCGAATACTTCAATGTCACTGTTACTAATGAGCACAGGGGCAGCCAGGCTGTCAGCTACACCCGTAGTGTCACTCTGAATATCTATGGCCTCAGCCTGACCCTCAGTGCCCAGTGGCCAAGGCAGCTACAGGTGAGTGGGCTGTGAAGCCGCTGCTGTACGGGAGAGAATGAGGGACGGACCATTCCCCAAAGCGCCTCTCCCAGCGTGGCAGGGCCATGAGGCTGTGTTCAGCCTGCAGCCGCAGGACCAGGAAGGTTGGAAGCAATGGCTTCCCCAGCTCAGGCTTCCATTATTCCTCTGCAGCAGGGACTGCAAAAGGACCTGCTTCACCGTAGCACAGAGAGCAAATGTCACTGGTCTCTTTACTGTTACTATAACGAGGGATCAATGATACTGAAGGTTGTAGACTGGATTAGAACCTTCTACAGACACTGCTCGGCTGACTCCTCCCTCCCACACCCACAGGTGGATAGAGAGACGATAACCCTGCCTTTCCAGCTAGACTCACGACTGCTTGCACACCTGAGCGGCACAGGCATGGTGGTGAACACCACCTTCGGGCTCGCGCTGGCCTTTGACAACAGTTTCGTGCGCCTGTACGTGCCTGAGGCCTATGCAGGCGCCCTCTGTGGCCTCTGCGGGAACTACAACAAAAACCCCAAGGATGACCTGTCTGCAGTGGATGGGAAACCCGAGGGCTGGAAGGTGGGCGGAACCCCAGGCTGTGACCAGCCTGTGACTGGGACTTGCCCAAAGCCCTGCACACCTGAGCAACAGGAGCCCTTCCGTGGCCCCGACGCCTGCGGCATCATCTCGGCCCCCGGAGGCCCACTGGCACCCTGCCACAGCCTCGTGCCTCCCGCGCAGTACTTCAACACATGCTTGCTGGATGCCTGTCAGGTTCAGGGCCATCCAGGAGGCCTCTGTCCTGCCGTGGCCACCTATGTGGTAGCCTGTCAGGCTGCTGGGGCCCAACTTGGAGAGTGGAGGAAGCCAGACTTCTGCCGTGAGTACTAACCTACCCTGCTCAGCTCCACACAGACAGGGTCTCCCCCAGCCATTCCCAGGGGCTCTAAGACAAGACCCCTGTTGCTTCAGGGGAGGCTCAAGGTCCGTCCCCACCACCTCCTGTCAGAGGCACACCCAGTACTAATAATGAAAATGGGGTAGAGAAGGACCCAGTCACACACCCAACGTCAGAAAGCCTGGTGGGTTCATTTTGCTAGTGGACTTGGGGGTTCATTTTGCTAGTGGACTTGGATATGACCCAGTGACAGTTACTCAGCAAGAAACTCCAGTCAGAGGCCAAGTGACTTAATCAGCAAGAAACCCATCAGAGGCCAAGTGACTTAATCAGCAAGAACCCCATCAGAGGCCAAGAGACTTATACCCGGTCAGAAGCCCCCAGAGCATCTCCCACACTGGCCTACAGCTACCACACAGAAGTGTTCAGATAGCAGATGGTGTCTGGAGAGACCCACACCACTACCTCACACTGGTCAGACATCAGACACCCTCAGCTGGGATCTGGACCTGTCCCCGCACATCCGCTGGGCCGGGACCTCCGTCAGTGTCGCCCAGTCACATACACCCTGACAGAGATGCTCCAGTCACGTTGGGACCGCCTTCACTCTCTCCAGTCAGGATGACTCCTCTCCCACACACATGGGTCCCTGGTCACGCACACCGACATAGCCGTGGTCAGGTCTAGCCTGTTCTGGTCAGATGCGCGTGGTCATATCCCCCAGACAGGATGACACACCTTCTCAGGGAGACCTCGTCACGCCCCCACACCTGAGATCCCAAATCAGTGCCCGTTATATGTTCTGTGTCAAGTCCCATGCCAAGCCAGAGGCACTGGCATCTCAGGCAGGCTCGCACCCACAAACCCTTCTGCTCCCGCCATCGCCTCTGCCTGACCCCTCCCCGTTCTGTCCCCACAGCCCTCCAGTGTCCTGCCCACAGTCACTACCAGCTCTGTGGTGACTCCTGCCCTGTGAGCTGCCCAAGCCTCTCGGCCCCCAAGGGCTGTGAAACCACCTGCCGTGAGGGCTGTGTCTGTGACCCTGGCTTTGTGCTCAGTGGTGACACCTGTGTGCCCGTGGGCCAGTGTGGCTGCCTCTACAATGGACGCTACCATCTGCTGGGTGCCACCTTCTACCCAGGCCCTGAGTGTGAGCGGCTCTGTGAGTGTGGGCCAAACGGGCAGGTCACCTGCCAGATTGAGTCCTGTGGTATCCAAGAGGAATGTCAATTAGTGGATGGCATCCGTGTCTGCCATGCCAAGAGTTCTAAATTAATGCTGGTCCTGGATGGCACTCATTACGCCACACCTGATGGATTGGTGTATGACCTTCATGGCTCCTGCTCCTACATCTTGGCACAAGTTTGTCACCCGAAACCTGGAGATGAGGAGTTTTCCATTGTGCTTGAGAAGAACGCAGTCGGTGAACCCCAGCGAGTGGTAGTTTCCGTGGCAGGCCACATTGTGGTCCTGGCTCCAGGGCCGCAGGTAAGTGGACACACCCTGCCCAAGGTTCTGATAAGGACACTAGCGGACTTACAGGTCATCTGTAGACGTGCCCCTACTTGGAGGGTCTTAGAGGACACTGACGAACTTGAGAATCCTGAGAGCACCACAGAATCTGATGTTTTGGGAAGTGAGGGTCCCATCCTGAAAGCTACTGGAGACACGGCTCTATCCCTACCCCAGGAGCCTAAATGGACCTCACTCCACTCCAATTAAAAAGTACCTCGCCATCCATGAGGGTCTCACAGAGACAAAATTCCATGGCAGGACAATAAGGGTCTTCCTTATTGATGTCTTCTCACCTGACTGACGTTTCCATCCAGGTGACTGTGGACAGTGAAGTCGTGACCCTGCCCGTGGTGGTAAGCTCCTTGTATATAACTGTTGAGAGCCGGAACATGCTTCTACAGACGAAACGGGGACTGAAGGTGCTCTTTGACGGCGATGCCCACCTCCTCATGGCCATCCCTAGTTCCGTCCATGGACGGATGTGCGGCCTCTGTGGGAACTTCAATGGGAACCCAAGCGATGACTTCCAGCTGCCCAGTGGCACACTGGCCCCCAACGTGCAGGCCTTTGGCGCAGCGTGGCGAGCTCCCGGCTCCTTGCTGGGCTGTGGTGAAGGCTGTGGGCCCCAAGGCTGCCCTGTGTGCTTGGCAGAGAACAGAGAAGCATTTGAGAAAGACGAAGCTTGTGGACTGCTCCGGAACCCCAAAGGCCCCTTTGCAGACTGCCACCAGGTTCTAAATGCCACAGAATACTTCCACCAATGTGTGTTTAACCTGTGTGCCCATAAGGGTGGCAAAACCTACCTCTGCCGTAGCCTGGCAGCCTATACCACAGCCTGTCAGGCAGCGGGTGCAACCGTGAAGCCCTGGAGGACAGACAGCTTCTGCCGTGAGTGTCTGGGGACCCCTCTTGGGGCCTCCTGGGACCTGGAGAAATCTTGCCTGTGGCAGGGCCTCCTCCAGCCCTGCCCCACAATCCGCTGTGACTTCCCACTTTAGTTCTGACTCGGGGGGGTCTCAGACTGCAGCCGAGAGTGCACTCCCCTCCCCCCCACATCTGTCTCTTCCCAGGGCTGCTCCCGGCTTTCTGTAGTGACCTGGAAGGGAGGTGGATGGATCGAGAGTCCTGAGTTGACCCCTCCCTCAGACTGAGTAGCCTCTCATGTTCAGATCAAGGCCACAGGCAATAGATCCCCAATCCAAGACAATACCTCTTTCCAAAATTACAGGGTAGGGACAGGTCCCCTCAGATGCCCCATGCAAGCACAGTGGTCCCTGGTACTGCAGTGAAAAGACGCTTGTCCTTCGGTCTCCTAGACCCGGGGTCGTCATCTGCCCACCAGCACTGACACAATCAGGTGTGACTGCAGACACGCTCTAGCTATAGGCTAGGCAGGCTAGGCCCCCGTACCTGTGCTCTCTGGATGTGTGCCCTGGGTGGCCCTTAACATCTCTGCACCTGTTGCATTTCCGACTGAAATCTCACTTTCACCCCAAGCCTGAGGCTTCTCTTCTGACCCGGTGGCCCTCTGAAGGTGGCCACACCAGCCCGCAACACTTACTTGGAGCCCAGCGCCTCATCTTTGACGTCTCCATGTCTTTGGCTCTCCTTGTCTTTCTCCCCGCCCCGTCCTCAAACCCTTTGCTGGCACCGCCTGTCTCAACCGGGTACTCTGCCTGCCCCGCCCCAAGCCAATTCAACACAGCGGGAGCCTGGTGATGCCATACGAGTCCTCGGTGCCACCTCCCCAGCCCACCTTGACAATGCTCGCCCACTGTACCCCACCCCACCCTCTCCTCTGGCCTCCTCTTGTGTCCCCCCACCCTCTTCCTGTTCCTCCGCAACCCAATCGGGTCTTAAGGCTGATAACCTGAATCCAAGCCCAGCCTCGCTCCCCGCCTTCCCCTCCCAGGCACGACTCATCTCATCTTCACAGCCCCTTCTATCTGTTCCCCCACAATGCAGCAGGGCAGCTAGGGCCGTCTGGAAACCTGGATGTGAGCTTGGTAAGACAGGGTTGGGGACTGCCTTCAGTACTCACATCCTCAGCACCATCCTGGCCAGGGATAGGAGGCCAGTAAGTCAAGTTAGTCAGCGTCCTGCAGCGGCGGTGACCACCTTCGTTCGCCTCCTCTCCCTACAGCTCTCCAGTGTCCGGCCCACAGCCACTACTCCATCTGCACGCGCTCCTGCCAGGGCTCCTGTGCGGCTCTCTCTGGCCTCACCCAATGCACCACTCGCTGCTTTGAAGGCTGTGAGTGTGACGATCACTTCCTGCTCTCTCAGGGTGTGTGCATTCCTGCCCACGACTGCGGCTGCTCCTACAATGGCCAATACATGCCGGTGAGCAGGGGCTCCAAGCAGGCGGTGGGCGGGGAGCCCGAGGGACATTCAGAGCTGCTGGGCTCTGGGTTTGTGTTCAAGGACTGGGACACAGGGGGCCACCGCCTGCTCCCAGCTGTGCCTGCCTGCTGCACCAAGTCACCCCAGACTCGGCAGGTCCAAGCAAGAGAGCTTAATCCCCCCCCGAAGTTCTGGAGGCCCAAAGTCAAAGATCAGGCTCACTGCGCTACAAGCCCCAAACATTTTTTCCTAAAATAACTGTCTTAATGTTTATTTCATTTTGAAGAATATTTCATACTAATAGGATAAATGAAAACCTGCCTCCTTGTGACTGGTTTTGCTTATCACCCCTGCTCTTCTTTTGTTCCAGGTGATTCGTGCCTCACTAATCATAATTATGTTCTAGGTTCCCTTGCAGTTCTAATGATCAGACGCCACAGGCTAATACTATTTTTTCAGGAGCTTCTAAGATCATTCACGTTTTCCCGACATAACCAGAGTTCCGACTTCTAAACTCCATAGTTGGATGGCATCTCCATCCTCTTCCTACCATTAATACAAAACGTTGAGGACTTACGTCCTGCACGGTTCACGGGAGCAAGCCATATTCAAGCCATGGCAAGTGGCCTGAGCTGGGAATCACTGTCTGTGGACAGTGGACTAGCCCAAGGCTTGTTCTCACAGTAACGGCACAATCTGAGACAGGGTGATGATGGGTGGACTGTCAAGGTTCTTGAGTTAAAACATGGGCTTGTCACAGTCTGGCTTCTGCTAGGTCTCGTTGACAAATCAGTCTGAGGGTCACTGAGACTACCATTGGGTGGACACATACACCATTTCTTACTGGGAGCTTCCACAGGCTCCCTGTGCGAATCACGCCATCCACCCCTTTCTGTGCACAGGTGAACACCTCCCTGATGACCTCGGACTGCCAGGAACGCTGTTTCTGCTCCCCACGCGTCGGGCTGACATGCCATGCAACCGGCTGTCCATCTGGCCGAGTATGCCAGATCCGAGCAGGAGTCCGGGACTGTTGGCCAGCCAAAGGTCTCTGTTCCCTCTCTATGGGGACCAACCTCATCACCTTCGATGGGGCTCACAATGTCATCAGCTCCCCTGGTGCCTATGAGCTTTCTTCTCGCTGCCCGGGACTCCAGAAGCCTGTGCCCTGGTACCGTGTGGTCGCTGATGTCCAGTCTTGCGGTGGCAACAAGGTCGTGGGCAAGATCCACATCTTCTTCCAGAATGGAGTCGTGACTGTGACCCAAAGCAAGGGCGTGTGGGTAAGCCTGGGCGCAGAGGGCGGGGACGTCTTCCCTGGGCTTCCCTTCTTCCTGTCACGGTGTCCTACAGCCTGGCTACCCAGTGACCTTCATGCAGATCTCTGTACTTTCTTTATGGATTTATACCTGTCTCTACGGGTCAGCCCAGGTCCCTCTCCTTGGCCTGAGTTTTTACATTCAAGTAACAGCATAGCTTTGCTGGTGGTCTTAATCAAGTCTCTACTGAATACAGAGTGCCTTGGGGAAAATGAATGGACAGGCTCCATATCAGGGAAACCTAGAGATGGTGTCACCACCCCAGCTGCACCTCCAGGTCCCCAGACACCCCAGCTACAGTGTCAGGAGTTTGCACCTCTAAGTTTCAGACTTGTCCCTGAAGTCAATGTCTATTTTTAATTATTTTTAAGACCAGATGTATGTATGTGTTTGTGCAGCACTGTCCTGAAATTCACTCTGTATACCAGACTAGCCTTGAACTCACAGAGATTCTCCTGTGTCTACCTCCCGAGTGTGGGGATTAAAGAGGAGTGTCCCTGTGCCTGGCTTTCGACTTCATTCCTAGGCAGTTTTGTTCTCATGAAGGGAAGCACCACTCACACCACTCAGTCTGGCCACCTCAGTAGAAACTTCTCCAGTGCAAGCCCTAGGATTGCACCTCACTGAGCTAGCCTGGACTGCCTGGCCACTTCTGGTCTTGGTGTTGGGATGCTATGATTTGCCAAGCCGGCATCACATGGAGTGTTGGGATTCCCCAAGTCAATTTCCAGGTTCTATGGTCCCCTCTAAGAACTCAGTGAGTGGTTGTATGGACAGCTGAGAATAATCCCAATGAGAGGATGGGGAGACACGGTGCCACCGGGAAGAGGCGTCAAACAGGGCACGGTAAACCGCTATTTCATCCTGAAAACTAGAACCTGAAGAGCGACCCCAGATTTGCTCAGTTGCTTCCTCATCTGTCTGTTCCAAGTTCTTCCCCCAGCTTCAGAACATTGTGAGGATCCGTTAATCCACCCCTCCGTCCACCAACAACTTCAACACTAAACAAAAAGATTCTGAAAACATTAAGTTAATTTGGGAGTCACACTGCAATGGTCATAAGCACGCCCAGTGAGCTGTGTGTAAGCAGTCATTTCCTGTCCCAAACACCCAGCAGCTACTTCCCAAATTACCACACAGAGGCTTATATTACTTACAAACGCTCAGCCAACAGCTCAGGCTTGTTACTGGCTGACTCTCTCATTTAACCCATAATACTTGCCAAGGTTTAGCCACGTGACTTGGTACAGCATTCTCATCTTACTCCTGTTTGCCAGCGACTCTCTGACTCCACCCTTCCTCTTCCCAGAATTCTCCTAGTCTAGCTCTCTCGATCAATCTCTTCCTGCTCAGCTATTGGCCAATCAGCAATAATCCACGGCATCTCCAGCCGTCTTCCCGCCTGTCCATCTTCTGTATGCCCCTCCCCCCCAGGGCCCGCCCCTCCCAGCATCTGCCCCTTGGCTTGAGTTGTTGTTGTGCACGAGGACTCCGGCCTTGGTGGTCCCTCAGCCATTCTGTCACTCGAGTGCCAATTCGTATCTCCCCTCCCCCACACCAGGTGACCGGTCTCCGAGTGGATCTCCCAGCTGATGTGCTAACATCTGTGTCTGTGAGGAGGTTGCCCAGTGGCTCCGTGCTCGTCAACCAGAAGGCAGGGGTCCAGGTCTGGCTTGGAACAGACGGGCAGCTAAATGTGATGGTCGGTGATGACCACGCGGCCGTGGTGTGTGGGGCCTGTGGAAACTTCGATGGGGACCAGAATAATGATGCACGTGGGAAGACAGCGATGGAGAAGTGGAGAGCCCAGGACATCTCCCCATGGTGAGGACGGAGAACGGGAGCCAGACTTTTGGGAACTGGGGAAAGAGGTCGTGTGGGCGGGTGTTCAGTCTGCAGGTGGAGTGCTAAGCGTCTGTCTCTTGCAGCTCCGGCTGATGAGTCACCACTGGACACTTCAAGACCTGCCTCTCCCGGAAGTGACAGTGATTGAAGGATGCCCTGTGTGTCCCCGCCCCGCCCCGCCCCTTTGCTGAGCCACCGAGGCCAAATCTGAAAGCATCGAGTAAATAACTAGACCCAAGTTGTGTGTCTGCCTCCTGCTGTCTCCCCCAACTCCCTCCCCATGTGGGAGACGTGGGTGGTGGTGCGTCTCTGTTAGAGAGGACGGGCGGCCGCGCGTGCGGGTGCACGCGCAGGTGAAGATAGCCAGAGTGGGGGCGGACTGGGGAGACTGGGAGCCACAGAGAAAGGTGATTAGAGGTGTGGATGGGTGAGATGATGGTGAGCGGATGCGGGGAGACGTGGAAGGCAGAGAGACAGATTCTAGAGTCACCATTCACAAGTTTCCTGGTGAGTTACCTGGTTCCTCTCTGACTTGGTTTCATCACCTTTAAATAGAATGAAGGCTAGTATTTTCTCGTAGAGTTGGAGTGAGGAATCCCCCAGCAAGAAAAATTTGAACAGAGATGATGCTAGGAAAATAAGCCAGTTACTTTTCTGTTGCTGGTGTCTTAGGTAGGGTTTTTATTGCTGTGAAGAGACACCGTGACCATGGCAACTCTTATAAAGGAGAACGTTTAATTGTGGTGGCCCGCCTACAGTTCAGAGGTTCAGTCCATCATGGTGGGGAACACGGTGGTGCACAGACAGATACGGTGCTGGAGAAATAGTCTAGTGTCGGAGGCTGTGGAAATATAAAGCATATAACAATTGATAATTCAGATGCCAACCCACCAGAGGAGTGATTCTCTGATTGGCGTTAATCCTGTTCAGGCAAGACCTACAGGACAGACTCTGGAAACTCTTGCTTACTTTTGCTAAAGCAACTTGGTGTCTCCCCAATACCTGCATTGTAGTGTGTGACCTCATGTGATGCACATATGCAATCTCATGATTGCATCTCAGCCGTATGGGCACATATATCTGTGGGTAGTCAGGAAGATAATCTATCATTCATTGTGTAATGTTGATATATAAAATATATGCCAGGACATGCTTCATAACTAGATCTATTTGTCCCACAAGAACTATAGAGACTTAAAAGTCTGCTTTGTTCCTTTTGCTCAGACTAATTGCACATAATTAGCTCACTTTTACCTCAGAGCAAGTTCAAACTAGACTAAAGGCTTTGTATGTAGATCATAAGTTTAGGGTTTTACAGCTATGCACAAGGTCAGAGTCTCGGGTGTCTAGCCAAAGTTACTCCACAAAGCACCCTCAGAAAAGCATGCCAATTCTTTGCTTGACAAGTCTAGCTGACAAAAGATCTCTGCCTCAACACTTACCTCACTGGACACTACGCTCCCACCCTCCAGTCACGGTTCCACCCCTGGAACCTGGGAACCTTGGCTGCCATGGTAAATGGTTCAGCTACTTACCACTTTCCCTAGAAATGTGCTTTCATCCAATGAGAGGTAGCTCTAGTAATTTTATGTCGCTTCAAGGCTCCGATGAAAAGGAGAATTTTTAGGCTAGAGGAGAAGCTAGGAGGAAGTAGAAGTAGCACAGAGACTTGTTTGGAACAGAACGTGTGTGAGAGAATTCACTCATTTACTCTCAGATACCCTAAGGACAAAGCCCCTTTCACTTGCTGTCTGAACCCCAGGGCCTTGGGGCTGGACCCCAAAGGACCTCAATAGCCAAGTGTCCTACATCTTGCAGTTGACAGGAAATCAACAGAAAGTCACACTGTGCGGTATCCTGAGTATAGGAAGTGTCAAAGCCCACCCCCACCATGACACACTTCCTCCAACAAAACCACACTTCCTCCAACAAGGCCACACCTCCTAATAGTGCCACTCCCTTTGGGGGCCAGATTTTCTTTCAAATGCCACATGGTGACCAAAGGTAACTTATAGGAAAAAAGACTGTATTCTGGCTTGTGGCTCCTGAGGGGAGTCGCACAGCAACAGGACGCCAGAGCAGGAAATGGAGAGATCACACCTCAACGACAAATACAAGCAGAGAGGAAACCGGAAGCTGAGCAAAGCTCTGACTTCTCAAAACCTGCCCCCATGAGGGACTTCTGCCAACGGGACTCCACCTTCTAATCCTCTTCAAACATTCTGGGAACCAAGGGTTCAGAGACCTGGGTTTACGGGGACCGCTTCCACTCAAACCACCGCAGAGAACATAGGAGGGAGCTGAGAGCAGGCTTAAAGAGCATGTTAAGTTCCTATTAAATCATCTCAAGTGTCAGAATAAGATAACACTACTGGTGCAAGGCATCTGTACTGGCCTGTCCTTGGGGTTCTGACGGGATGCGCCCTCAGCTGCAGCCACTAAGAGCGCCACCTGTGCACATTCCCTATGTTCCCTTTTAAAAGGGCCTGCCCACCTCCCCTTCCTCTCTCCCTCTCTGTTCCTCTCTCTTTCTCTCCCTCTCTGTTCCTCTCTCTCTTTCCTTCTCCCTCTCTCTCTCCCCCTTTCCTTTCTCCTCTCCCTTGCTGCTCCTGTCTCCAGAGGCCAGTCTCCCCTCTTCCCTTTCCCCTATTTATGATCCTTTTCCCTAGTAAAAAAAAAAAAAAAACACCTCTGCCTGAACCCTGTCTCATGGCATCTTTCCCTCACGTGCAGCTTTCCTTAAATTACAACGGTCCATACTGAGTTTCTGGTGGGACACTCTGACGGGAATAGGTCCAAGAATTAGTGGCACGGTGAATATAGTAAATATAAAATTTTCTTGAAGAGTTTTATTATGAACCAAGCAGACTCTTCTCCGTTCAGCCCCTAGGATAACGGAGCGGAATAGCTGGAGCGTTGCGGTCTGTTTTACAGTTGGAGGTTATCAGTGAATGTGTGTGACTGATAGTGATGGGGGTTGAGGACACTGTGGTCACAAGTGGGTGAGGCATGATGAAGGGATAAACAGTTTAGGGGCTCGGGACACCTGCATCAGGGAGTAAAGCACAGAGGCAGGATGTCACGGGTGGGAAATGCGACACACACATTCCGGCTGGGCTATCGTTTGGAGGTAAGCTAACATCTCAAAGAAAGCAGGTGTAACTTGGAAATTGATAATGCTGGTAACACAGCCTAGGCGCTTTCAAGATGGCTGGCGTAGACAGGAGGCAACGGCACTGAGGAGGATGAGGAGCCAAGCCTGGATTCTAGCTTCACTCTGTCGCTGTGTCGGATACTATGGCCAAAAGCAACTAAGGAGAGCAGAGGGCTTCTTCATTTCTCAGGTTATGACCAATCACAGAGGGAAGTCAGGAACTCAAGCAAGAACCTGAGGTAGAAGCAACGCAGGAACACTGCTTGCTGATCTGGCCTTTTCCGGCTCCTGCTTAGCTGGCTTTCTCATACAGCCCAGGACTGCCTAGGAATTGTACCACCAGCAGTGGGCTCTTCTAGGACCCATCGGCCCTTATCAACTTGACACACAAATGCATCACTTTAAGCATAACCATTCTTGTTCCGTAGGTTCTTTTGTTATTATCAGGATTCAGAACAAACACTTAAGTGTTTACAAACATCAGCCTTCTATAAAAGTCCAAGGTCTCTTTAAAAATCAAAGTCCTAGCGCAATGCTCAGACCTATATCCACACCCACACCACCAACGCTCAGGGGACATCACAGAACAGGGGACAGCAAGAACAGAAGAACGGGGGGGGGGAGGGTGAGGGAGCTGTGGAGTACAGTGAGTTCCAGACCGTGAAGGGCTACAGTGACACCCTGTCCAAAAGAAATTAGAGTAAAACATTCTAATGTAATGCAGTAATACAATCCAGAGAAATACCAACTTGATATTTATAGGCCGAGGACGTATAGCAGGAAAACATTAAAAGTATTCAATTTCCATAGTTGCTAAGGCGGGAAGTCAAGCAGGGCAGGATTCCAGAGGCAGGAGTTGATGCAGAGGCCATGGAGGAGGGCTGCTGACTGGCTCGCTCTTCATGGACTGCTCAGCCTGCCCTCCCCTCATCCCTGACTAAGAAAATGCCCTCCAGACTCGTCCTGTGGAGACGTTTCCTCAGTCGACGCTCCCTCCTCTCAGATGACTGCAGCATGTGTCATGTTACATAAAATTAGTCAACATATAGACTAAAATTACCATACTTCCAGACACGCCTTTAATCCTAGTGCTCGGGAGGCAGAGGGAGGCAGAGGCAGGCGGATCTCTGTGAGTTCGAGGCCAGCCTGGTCTACAGGGAGAGTTCTAGGACAGCCTCCAAAACAATACAGAGAAACCCTGTCTCTCGAAAAACAAAAACAAAAAAATTACCATACTTCGTAACACACAAGTTGATGGAATTGGAAAATATGCCACTGGGTGAGGTAACCTGGGCACAGGAAGACAGACATCACATGCATCCTCTCGTCTGTGGGCCTTAGATCTGAATTTTCACGTTTCTGTGTTCAAATTGGAATGAGCGAGCAGAGGTCAGAAAGCAAGACAGGACCCATGATGAGGGAGGGACCCTAAAGGGACATAGGAACACACAGGTGACATTAAAGAGGGAGGGACATGAAGTGTGGAATGTGTTAATATGGGAATGGAGCAGGAGACGGGATGTGAGAGATGGTTAACCAAAAACATGAACACTAACCAGAAATATTATTTACAAAAAACCAAAAGCATTTGCATGGGGGTATTCTGTATGAATACCCCTGAATACTCCTAGAAACCAAAGTTAGTAAATGAAAATCTCAGTGCCATGCATAAAAGGTCTCCCTATGAGTCTTTTGTCAGGGAGGGCCCAGAGGCCCCCAAACAATACAGGCTATGGCCGTTTCTCTGAGTTGTCTGTCAGAATTGGATGGTAGAATCCTATTGCTGAAGATACCACACAATTTGCTGCAGGATACAGCTATATCAAGCTGGACCTGAACTGGAAGCTTCATCCCTGCTGGCTGGCTAACATCATGCTACCAGAATGTGCTGTGTAGCCTGCTGGGACAGAAAAGTCACCAATTTTTTTTTTTTTTTTTTTTTTTTTTTTTTACCAAACCATAGGTCCTGCCTATTACAGTACCAACTGATGAGGCAAGCTATGCCCATTGGTGCAATGTTTGGGGGCAACTAACCACTTTTCTTTTCCTAGTTTTTTTTCTTATGTTTTTTGTTTGTTTGTTTGTTTGTTTGGTTGTTTGTTTGGGGGGGTTGGGTTTTTTGTTTTGTTTTTTTGAGACAGGGTTTCTCTGTGGCTTTGGAGGCTGTCCTGGAACTCACTCTGTAGACCAGGCTGGCCTTGAACTCATAGAGATCCACCTGCCTCTGCTTCCGAGTGCTGGGATTAAAGGCGTGCACCACCAACACCCGGCCTAACCAGTTTTCTGATTGGATCTGAGGCTAGGTCCATTGGAAGGAATTTATGCCTGGTACTGTAAACCTTGTTAAAAGTCCAATGCTGAGTACTGAGCTGAACTCAAGAAAGCCAGTAACAGAGAGGGAGGACTGATGATCAAAGGAGTTAAGACTGGGCTGGTTTAACCCCAGAAAAGCTGACCTGACAAGGGTTAACTCTTGAATCCCGGGCTGATGCCTGGGAATCCAACATGGGACTGATCAAGACCCCCTGAATGTGGGTGTCAGTGAGGAGGCCTAGGTAATCTATTGAGGCAGTAGATCAGTATTCATCCGGAGTATACACATGGACTTTGGACTCCCATCCAACAATGTGAGATGAACTCTCACCCTGAACTCTTGGGGGGGAGGGTCTAGGCCCTGCCCTGGATGAAATGACAGACTATGGACACCCCCATGGAGGGCCTCACCCTCCCTGGGGAAATGAGGGGATAATGGGGGGGCTGGGGGGAGGGCACGGGAGTAGGGGAGGGAAAGGGAGAGGGACCTGGACCTGACTTGTGAACCAACCATGTTTTTAATCTAAATGTAAACTTAAAAAATTTTAATAAAAAAAAAAAGTCCAATGCTGAGGAGATCGCAGACTCTTAAGGAGGCAGGGTGGGATCTACTACTAGTTGGGCTAAACGGACATCTAAAACTGCCTCCTAAGTATTTGTGTTTATACTCATAAAACAGTGCTGCTCTCCGCCCTGGACAAGGAATTGTCCATTTGTAGTGGTGACGGTTACTCAAGTCACCCAGAATAAGTGACTGAGGAGTGTTCAGTTCTAACTAAATAAGACATCTCCAATGTCCTCGCCAAGGCCCAGTGAACATGGAGGAAGAGTTGGGGACTGTGAGGGCTGGATGTGGGGAGAGTTGGGGACTGTAAGGGCTGGATGTGGGGACAGTGCTGTAAGACACTGTCTTCTGGACACGCTGTGACCATTCGCACTCATGACCACATGGCAGCTGTGGCTACCCGCACAGGATCCACACCAAGAAAGACACAAACGCAGCAGGGGTGGTAGTTGGGGAAAATAAAGGGGTCACCAGGAATGGGAAGGAGATGAGGCTAAAGGGGTAAATATGAGCACAATACATTTTTTTGCCTGTTGGAATTGTCAAAAGTGTTTTAAAATTCCTATGAATACACCCCACCAAAAGTCACTGAATTCTGTAAATGGGCAAATTTATACTATGTGACCCATTTACCAATAAAAATTTTAAATTAAATAATTAGAAATACTAGGAGCTTGGGAGACATCTCATCAGGTAAGAGATCTTGCTGAGCAAGCATGAGGACTTGGGTTGTGTAAAAACAACCGAGTGGTCATCTGCATGCCTGGACTCCCCAGGCTGGGGTGCTAGTGGTGAGACAAGGGCTTTGGGGGGCTCTCTGGCCACCAGCCTAGCT